TCTCTCTTTCTCTATCTCTCTCTCTCTCTATTTCTCTGATATAACTTCCTTAATAAAAGGATGACATGTGAATGCTTTTTTGAATAATGTTATAGAATTTTACTTTTTTTTAACTAAATCAGATTTAATTGTACAAAATCCTGTTTGACTTTTTAACGATTGCCAAGATGATACACATTATATCGAATATTACAATGGCAACCTTTTACCCATGTTTGCATGCGAAACTTATCTTATCATATTTTTATGCAATATTCTACATGTACCTTTTACTAAATTGGCCCAAATACAAAATGTTCTGCATTTTACCTACAATGTATAATTTGTATAATCTGTTTAAATCATTGGAGCATCTATTTGACTTTATAATTCCTGGATTTGATTTCTGTTGTTGTCCCTGTTATTGAAGAAAACACCACAACTATACCTTACCCATCTGGCTATGCATTTTCCAACCAAAACATTTAATTCTTTTGAATATCAAAAATGTATTGCTATTCATGTATTGTATAAGTTTAATATATCATCTTATTGCAAATATGGTAATACAATTCGAATTTCTGTATATGTACCAAGCAATTTGCCAAGGTCGTTGGAAACCAAAAACAAAAGAATTCCAATTTTACTACCATGCATAATGTTTTACGTGTAATTTTACTTTGTCACTGATGTATACCTTGTAAAAGAAACTGTAATTCGGCTCTCGGGCCGCGAATGTTTTTTAATGAAATAAACCATTTTAAATAAATAAAAAAAATAAAAATATTCACAAATTAAGTTCACAGTATAAGTTTACTACATATTATACAGGTAATTATAAGCACAATATGCATCTTTGTGGTGTAACTTATGACAAAGATGAGATGCTAGTAAATTAATCCAAGTACATGTAACGATCGAGGAGATGATGTAAATATATAAGCCAGTTCAATATACATATATTTTTTTGTTGGCATATCTACAAACCATTGTACGAATCAATACGTGGTTTACCGATATTAAACGTAAGAGGGCTACATGCTATTGTATATATATACATATATCGGGGGGACATTTGTCATATGGTTATCCTGTAATTTATTTGTTTATTTATTAAGTTTTATTTCAGAAAGGTAGTTCCATTCAAGCCAAAAAATAAATATAATGGCCTGCTTTCCAAGGAAGCCCTACATGATACAGGTACATACAATAACATCACATTTAATACATAACAACACAAATTTAACACAGAACTACTTAATAGTATAATAATTATTTAATAAATGGATGCTCTAAACGAATACATTACAAAATTATTTACAAAATTATCTTAAATAACAACAATAACCAGTGCCTACAGCCCATTTATTCATTATATTTATTTTAAAAAATCTAGCACAAAAACATATGAATACTAGATTTGGGGGAGAAAAAAACAATTAAATATTAAGAAGAAGAAGAAGAAGAAGGGAAAACAAATAATAGGAGATTAAACTAACCCCCCCCCCCTCCCAATGAACAAAATCAATAAGGCAGCTAAAACTTAACAACATTTTAAAGAGTGTGGGATAAAGATCGGCAACATATTTGAAATAAAGGCAATGAACTACTTGATTAAATATTTAAAGGGAGTTTGTTGAAAAGATATGGACCTTGGTTTATAAAACTGTGTTTACGGTATTCGGTAAATACCTGGGGAACAATTAATTTACTAATACTTTTCTTTAACAAAAAAAAATCTGAAACAAAAACAAATGAATACGTTGTATCAATGTCGATCTTGGTATTGGTCGACACCCCGGTCGACACCATGTTGAAAATATACAAATATACACTCTCTCGAGGCTCTGGTGAAAACTATTGGCAAAATGTGACCTGCAACAGTGCTATTTTTGATCATGTGACACACTTTTAACCTATCAATGAACAAGAATATATGAATGACGTATATTATCTACTGTAGATAATATACATCATTCATATATTCTCGTTCATTGATTGGTTAAAAGTGTGTCACAAACATATTAATGAAATGAATGCAGAGTAATTCAGGATCTATATAATGAACAATATTTTACAATGTAACATTATATTGTTGATTATGTAGATCCTGAATTACTCTGCATTCATTTCATTTATATTTTTCATTATTTCATTCATTCAGTATATATGAATAATTTTTTCCTTTCGTTTTTCCAATGGAAACGTCAAAAGGAAATTTGCCTTGTGCACACGATCTCATTATATAGACATTTCTAAAACGTTTACTATCCATAAAGAAATGATCATACCTGAACAAGGTTTTAGGCATAAATCACAGGAAGACGAACCGACAACCCCCACCCCGGTCTGGACATGACCGACAAAAAAGGCAATACAAATTTTTCTAGTTGTTAAGTGGCTGCCCATAATAACTTTCAGTCATCTCAGCTTACCTGCACTCCTGTATAAATTTATCCATTTCCTGGTATTTTCGTAATATTATTTCCTTTCAAATTTTCATGTGATTTCGTATCTGAATCTTGTTGTCTTTCATTGTGTCGTTTATCCACAGAGTAATTCCATAAAAAAGGGACCCACTTTGTGACATTTTTGGTGGCCCACCTACATAAGGAAACCACACATATTTGTGGCTTTGAGTAAAGACTTAAATAGTTGAGTGAGATTGTAACGTGATTTCCAAGCATAATATTGCACCCTCATACCTAGAATCACTTAACAATCTCAATCCACTATAGTTAAGCCTTTACTTCGAGCCACCAAACACCAAACATAAAAGTGGGTCCCTAGTTTATGAAATTACCCATATTATTGTTATTAACAAATTGATTTGATTTGATTCATCGACATGATTAGATTATAGCACCAAGCCTTAAATTTATAAGCTGTAAATGGAAGGTACTTCACGCTAACACAAATATTTCGCAAAATAAAGTATACCCATATGCCGACGATCTTTTTTATATAATTCGTACGAACAAAAACATTTAACATGTTATTGTTATTCTGCCGGTGAGGGAGACAGTGAGCGTAGGCGTATGCATGTGTGTATTTGGGGTGTGTGTGTGTGCGTGTGTGTATATATGTGTGTTTGTGTGATAGAGAGTTCCAGAGAGAAAGGGCAAACACAGAAAAAGGGGGTAGAGAGAGAGAGAGAGAGAGTGAGTGTGTGTGTGTGTGTGTGTGCGTGTGTGTGTGCGTGCGTGTGTGTGCGTGTGTGTATGTGTGTGTGTGGGGGGGGGGGAGGGGGTGAGGTAAACTCCATAAACAGCTGCCACCTTCTTCTCTTTTTTTTTCCTGCACCTAGATCGATGCACAATTTAATTATTTTGTACTTACAAAAAATAAAACAAAAGATATGTCGAATCATATAAGATAAATGACCTTTCTTTCTTTTTTAATATAAAACGATTTAATTCTACTTGCGTAGTATCCTGATATTCATCATTGTCAAATGTTTTCTAAACCAAGATAGATATTTCTGACTCCATAATTATTAAGAACTCCTTGATTGTATTGAAGTAAATGCAAGTATCACTTCAATGTATAGTGAGCGATATCTGTGATAAAGTGCTCCGCGATAATTTGCTGCACTGGCCGAATTCCTAACTTTAGCTCTGAACCAAACACTAAAAATAACCCTAACCCTTACCCTAAACCTAGCCTAAAACCCCAAAGCATGCCTAATTGTTACCCTATACCTTTGATGAATGAAATTCCGGAGAATTTGTCGCCCGAGCTAGGGCCGTAGCCAGAGTTTGATGTTGGGGGGGGGGGGGGGGGGCGGCACATACATGTAATTGATCGACGTCCTGGGGAGGGGTCTAAAAGTTTAACCGGTGTTGTAAATTGGGGGAGGCACGTGCCCCCCCCCCCCCCCCCGTGGTTACGTGCCTGGTCCGAGCAAATGTCAGTACACAGAAAGACACTATGAACGTGACTGACAAAGGGACAAAATATACAGTTTCTCAGGTAGACAAAGGGACATCCCTCACTGCTATTATGTAAAAATGTGTAGAACAGGTGAATATGCATGTGGCACCTGTTCTACACATTTTTACATAATAGCAGTGGAGGGATGTTCTTTTGTCTACCTGAGGAACTGTATATTTTGTCCGCTTTCTTTGTCAGTCACGTTCATAGTGAGAAGACGTTGAAGGTTAGACGTGTGTAAATTAAATACATTAGAATGTTGAAGTGAAACAATATTATGGGAAACGCCTCTATAGAGTGTAAATATAAATGCCTAATAATAAACTCAAGTTAGGTTCGGTTCTGTTTAAATCTTATCAAGATCTATTATTTTCTCGAAAGCTTTGATGGAGATAAATTAGAAAACACATGGTCATATTTGCTCGTTTGCAGCTTTCGATTCGATTATTGCCAATGACGCAGTTTGTTTTTGTTCAAGAGGAACCGCTCTTATTCTGCCCACTCACCCCCTCTCTGTCTGTCTCTCTCTCTCTGCTCTCTTTTTTCTCTCCCTCTCTCTCTCTCACTCTCTCTCTCTCTCTCTCTCTCTCACACACACACACACACACACACACACACTTTCTCTCTCTATATCTCTCTTTCTCTTTGAATTTTTTTCTCTCTCTATCTTTGATTTTATATGTGCCCCTTGCCACCATCTATTATAGCTACAACTGTCGTAATTGCTAACTTTGAGCACTATATATAATTATTATTATTAAGCGCTACGACAAAATCATGGCGTAAAATCCATAACTGTTAGGAGAAAACTTTATCAATATGGAATACCTTCGATGAATTAAATTTGTGTTTGTATTTGTGGTCATTAGCAAAATGTTGCTTTCCTGTTGACAAAGATTTCCTTTACCCCCCCCCCCCCCTCCCATCATGAATGAAGTTTCTAGCGACGCCCCTGTCAGTTATGTTGATCAGTGATTAAAATGATTTTATAAACGAATCTAATGTCTTTCTATTTACACAAACCATGATGATTAATATCTCAGTTGCGACACCTGATTATATTAAAAGTCGAGTGCAGATTTCTTCCTTCCTCATTCGGCGCTAGAAGCAGAGAGAGCTAGAAGGGCGATTTTTCTCCAGCGCAGTTTACAAACAGATTTTCGTTCGAAATGGCGACGCTGAAAAAAATAAGTTCCCAGATTCTGGTGGGCTTTCTGGTCGGATGCGCCCTGCTCCAACTGACGCGAGGCTTCACCGTGGGGGACTATCCTAAGTGGAAGCTGGCTGGCTGGAACAAACTACCAGGCTTCAAGGCGAGGATCACTCAAAAGGGTCTTGACTTCTGTGAGTATATACAGAGAAACTGAGTTTTGTTTGAGTCAATTCAGGGTTTTTTTTTTATTGATTTCATGTGTGTAGTTGTTTTACCGGGGTCAATTATAAGTTTGTTGGATATTTTGATGAGTAGAGAGATTAAATGTAAATTTGTCTTATCCTGTTTGGGAGAAAATTATAGTATGATTTTAATAGTTTGTCAATTTCTTTGTTTTATTCATTCATGAGGTCCCAAACGTAAAAGAAAATCAAATCCTCTAATATAACAACGTTACGACTTATCATCATCACTATCATCATCATACTGTTACAAACATCGGCGGTCATATGGCTCTCCATTTCTGTCTATTATCTGCTATTCTTAAAAAGCTGGTAGGCAAATTGCTGATTTCTTTTTCGGTTGCCCATTATTTTGTCCAGGCTGTTCAAAGAATGTCAGGCGGTGCCTTCCATTGCTTCTCTTTCCAGCAATCCTGCCCGTTGATATCGTTTTTATCTAGATGATCCTTTCCGTATTAATTATGTGACTAAGAAATTGCATTGTCTCTTTCTTGTTCTACTGAACACTTCTTCATTTGTTATCCTTCTGTCCATGATATAGTCATACTCTTTCTCAAGAACCAGGTCTCAGTGGCATCTAATATTCTACCAAGCTGTTTGTTTATTGGCCAACACTCACACCCACAGAAAAGCACTGACCAGACATGATTTTGAGACACGAATTTTGGTTTTCATAGTAAAGTTCCTATTTTTCATTACGGATTTCATCTTGTTAAATGTATCCCTTTCGACTACTAAACCTATAATAATCTAAATATTAGTGAACCGATTGAGTTCAAACATTCATGTCTATCTCTCAACTCAAGAATTCAAATCTGTTTAACTTTCAAATATCACGATATGACCTTAAAGGTGCTATGTCCCATTTGTAAGCCAAAAAAATGGAAAGATTAAATTCCAACGGCATTTGAAAGACAATACTAATTTAGAACTTCCCTCAAAACGAAAGGGCTTGAAAATGTTTTTTAGTGGGAAAATGACGACCATTAGTTGTCGAATAGACTTAAGTGGTTGCAAACACCTAAATAATAGTCTGAGGTTTGTCTGTTTTGTCTGCAAACCTCCTTTGTGAATTCAGGCCTTAAACTTGTTGATGCTTAAAAGCGTTATGACCTAAAAATGTTACAATTGAAGAACCTTTTGAGACCTTAAACTTCTAACGAATCCTGAATGATTCTGACCCTGATTAATGTTTCTGTATTCGATATTCTTACAGTCAGAGATATCGGCATGGAGACGATTCAAAAACACATCCGAGAAATGCATATTCCTAGTCAGCACGGCTCAGCTGGTCCCATCGACTACGACGCAACAAAGTAAGCTTTAAAAAAAACTTTTTGGTCAGTACATTCAACTGATTCAGTTAAACCTTGAAAAAAAAATGGATTCTAAGATCATGTTTAACGAAGGAAAACGTAAATTATACAAATTTATTAAGCCCGACCCTGGACTCTATTAAAGATCATGACTGTTTAACGAAGAAAAACTTAGACCTCGATCTACTGACTTCCTTTGTTAAAATTTAATGGCAAAATTTCACTTAAATTGTATAATACATGTGAAAGAGGATGTCATTTAACACACATTTATGCAGGTATTTCAAACAGATATGTTTGAAGTCGAATATTGATGAAAGAATACAAAATTTAGGTTTTCTGCGTACAATGACATCCTTTTCCACATTATGGTACAATTAAGTGAAATTTTGCCATAAAATTTTTGGCGAAATTTGGGCTCCCAACACTTTAGAGGGTTTTAAACCGAGCGGCGGGCTTGAATTTTAGTAGAATGCGCGGGTCGTTATGACTGAAATTCATTTTCTACATTTTAACATGAGCTTTAGGTCAAAGAGACTAGTAGCCTAGTTTTTCACAATTACCTTAACACATGAGAAAAAATATTGGGTAAAAGAGCAAAAGCTCAAATTGACTCCATTTGCTTCATACAAGATGTGAAGACGTATCTGAAGAAATCGTAAAAATAATTTCCTTTTTTTAAATACTGTGTTTTAGACAGTAATGGGTTGTTTATAAAAGAGTTGCTGAAAACCAATTTCCCGAAAATCACACCTCACTGTGGCTGTAGAAAACGCATTTAAACAGTGCAATGCACGGAGTCGGGACTAGTCCCTTCATTTCCTCACTTCTGTTGTTCTTCTTTCTCAGTCAGACATTATACATTTTCTTCAACAACAAAGAAAGAAAAGTGTTTGCCAAATCAATATACTCATGATCATGAATTATCAATACAAGATTAGTTTGATTCTGGGAGAATGCCATGTTCCCTCGTCACACTCTAGAACTCGATACTTCCTTTAAAAGAAGAGGAAACAAGCAGCTTCAGAGAAATCAAGGTAAACTTTGAAACTTATAAAGAGCATGCATGCTTGCATGGTATCGACTTTGCTTAAGGGGCAATCCAACCTTCTTTAATAACGAATTCATTCATTGTGTATGAAAGCAGGAACATAAGAGAAACAGAATGGCGAGAGTTTGAATGAACTGGACCATTAAGAAGAAGGTTGTGTGAGTGTTTGAAATGTGCATCATTAACTCTATGCGAGTCTCAAATTTGCAAATTCGTCAGTAAAGAGTGATGTAGTCGTTGATATTCGCTATACCGTTTGTCGTGTATTTAAACAAAATCCTTTTCCCGTTTTTCTACAGAGCGCCTTATTTACTCAAAACATTGTGTGGATAGATAGGTCCTCTCAAATGAAAAGAACCTCCTGTCTGAGTAATACATTTTGATGAATTGAAATTTGATGTGTTGGAACACATGAGAAATTTGTTATAGTGATATTATCGATTCAGCCAATTGAAATTCTCATAGTTACGCAGAGTTATGACAACTTTAAAAAATGAGTTACTTTCTTATCGCTTATTGTTTCTTTGGTTTCGGTCAAACTGTTATTAGTCAGCTGATCTGATTATTTTGCTCTCTTTTAAATTACTTGGAGGTATTATGTGCAGCCAACATTAAATTATGTAGAACTTTGCAGGAAGTATATGTATGAACATGTCACGTATGTCCTATCTGTGAAGTTTAATCGTTAGCAGTGCCCTAATATTCAAATTATGCAAGAAAACCTGTTTACTTTCTAGAATTCACTGTCAGTGACTGACTGACTTTTTTGTTGTTGGTAATAACATACATAAAATGAGCTGTAAAGGGTACATGAGCATTTTATTTGCCTACATCAATAACCCAATTCTTGTAATGGCCAACGTTAAACTGATTGAATCTTTGCGCAGCACAAAACGTACGACCATTCTGTACAAGGGTCTGAATATCAGACTATTACTTTAGTGATTGCAATCACCAAAGTCGATTCGACAACTAATGGTCGTTATTTTGCCACTTAATGACATTTTCAAGCCCTTTCGTTTTGAGGGATATTCTAAATTAGTTTTATCTATCAAAAGCCGTGGGAATTTAACCATTTCATTTTTGGCTTGCAAAACATTTTACATTTTAAGTACCTTTAAGTTTTGATTTTCCTTTAAGTGGATGCCTTTTGTCTCAGCTGGCAACAAGGATGTGGGCATCATCAAAGAGGGTTGTTTCATTTCCTCGTATCAGCTGGAAATAAAAAGTACGACAATTGAAAGGGAAAGGAAAAGGGAGAGAAGAGAGCCATAGCGGTTCTAAAGAGAGCTCGGGGAAATAAAAATATCCTAGCCTGCCCCCACCCCTCTCAATATTTGTTCTTGAATTTAATCGATCCACATGTAGACAATTACAACAGAACCCCCAAGCCTCCTCCAAGCCAACCCCCCCCCCCCCCCCCCCAAAAAAAAAGAAGGGCTTGATCATTAATGACAAACGTCGATGGGAAACATAACCGAGCTATCACTTCCCTGTAGCTGTTTCCAATGTTGCTTGATGATGGCAAAATAGTAGTGTAGAAGAGACCGCGTACCCCCCCCCCCCCCATTGTTTAATTGTATATGAGAAGATCCCCCCCCCCCTGGAAATTGGAAATTGATAGAGAGAGAGAGAGAGAGAGAGAGAGAAAGAGAGAGAGAGAGAGAGAGAGAGAGAGAAAGAGAAGGGGGAGTGAAAGAGAAAGTTCTGGGAAAGAAACATGAAAAAAGAAGATGATGCAACCGGTACCAATCATGGTTGAGCTCAAGCTTCACCAATGACCGCACGGTTAATGTTTAAGTTATTAGGTTACCCTTCACTTTTGTATCATGTTTTTAATTTCATTTTGTATCTTCACTTCCCTAAGACACTTTAATGTTTATGCAGAGGCTAACAGGAAATGAAAAAAGTTCATTGATGTACTATTACTTCGCAGATGTACGATGAGGAACTTAAGGTGCTTAGTTTTTGTTGTAGAATATAATAAGTATAATTGTGTCTTTTCCTGATGTAAGTATATAAAGGTTAATTGATAAATGTCAGGTTTTATATAGTACAATAAATAAAATAGTAAAATAGTAAAATAAAACAAGGAAATAAACTTTGAATATTATCGATAACATCTAGAGCTCTTTCTCTGTTTGTAGAATATAGAAAGTAGAAAGTATAATTGCATCTTTTCTCGATGTATATGATATATGTAAGTATATAAAGGTTAATTGAAAAAATTAATGTCAGTCTTTGTGCAGTAATCGCTAAAATGAAACAAGGAAATAAACTTTAATATTTAATATATTATCGATAACATCTAGAGCTCTTAGTTTGGAATCGGTTTAGAATCCCATGGCTATATGGAATAGATCGGATAGATTACTGCTAATATTGATCTTGATGAGTAGTCTTGTGCCCCAACTATCCAGATTACGATGTTTATTTTCATGTTTTAGTGAGCAGTTTATATTTTATTTAATTGAATAAATACCATATTTTTATGGATGCTTCCTCCCCAGGTGTGTGTGGCGATGGAGCATCTCATTCACCTGCTATCATCCTTTGTTCTACAATCATATAGACCGATTTACTAACATATTCAAATATATGGATGTTTATTTCCTGGGGACCTAGTGACGAGTTATCCATTAACCTGTTATTAAAGAATAAACTACTGTATAGTTGGAATCCAGTTTGCATACATTACTTGTTGCTATGTCGGGCAAGCTTTCAGGTTGTCAAGAACAACAGTTTGTTTAAAATGTATCAATAAAATGTAAATGTTTTAGTAAACCGGTCTATTGCCAGAACGCAAATTGCATGATTAAGTTGGTGCTCTACTGGGGTGAAGGTTTGGCATAAATAAAAATGATTTGTCAACTACTATAATGTTAGTATTTTTAAATAAATGAGTAACAATTGTTCCTTTGTTATATATTTTTCACAAGATAAAGATTTTACCTTATCAGCTTTAATTTTCCCCCATTGAAAAGTAATGGTTTTGTTATTAAAATAAAAAGTCTTTCCAATGAAAGCTTGATGCATACTACATGTACAAGCTCGCCTAGTTCGTCACATCATCAAGAAAATGGCTGCCTTGGCCGATGTCATGCTATAAGAGGCATTACATCATGCCAAGAATATCTTCATTTATATATATTGTACATCAAATGGCAGGAATAAGTTTCATTTTTCAGAATACCTACACTCATTCTTTGGGGTGAGGTTTCTTTACCGACTCTAAAGCTTGCCAGACATAGCAACAGCTACTGTATGCTAAGTTGATTCCATCAGTGCATAGCGCAACTGCAATACTAAGCAGGCGAAGGAAATACAAATGTAGTATCGACGATTTCTTGGAAGATTCACTTTAGAATACCCCACCAATAGGGTTAATGTACATAAACGTCAAAGACCTAGGTTTAGGGTTAGGGTTAGAGTTAGGGTTAGGATTAGGTTAAGTGTTATTTAAAAAGCTTAATACTCAAAGATTTAGCTTCATTGGTGAAGTTTTTGGTACCCTACGAACGTTTTGTCAATTTTAGTGGTGGGTATTCTAAAGTTGTTCTTTGGAAATACTTTAGTAAACATGTCTATTATTTTATGTGTGTAGTATCAGGATCGTCTCCTTTGGGCTACCGGCCTCCGTCGACCCTAACATCCCGTCCAAGGATGGCCTGGCGCTTCATGTGAGAAAGGGTTCGTTCTCCCTACATGGGGATCTCAGATACAAGTTTGTGTAAGTATGTACATACAGCGGCGTAGACACGGGGGTACGACCCCAATCACATATGCCCCCTAAAATATTTGTTTTAATAATGTTCTTCCGTTATGTTGAAATTGATTTGATGTCAAGTATATTTTTTTCATTAAATGTAGTTCTGAATATATATGTTACTATCTTCTGTGCATTAGTCATATGATTTTTAGCTACACGTAAATGCGGCTCTACATGATACAGATTAGTGTTTGAGACGACGTTTCAGTTTCTAGATGGCTTTCAGCTGTCGATAAAGAAGATTAGAAAATGGACGCTTGGTAATCAATTGCACATTAACCCTGTCTTTCCGACGGATAGGTATGCCGTGTATAAAATCATTTACATCTCCGGTGTAGGGTGATAAAAAAAAATTATGGAAAAATAATCTGTTGAGATAATTCAAGGAAGAAAAAAAAACCTTTAAAAAAAATATTGAGAAAAAAAAAAAAAAAAAAAAAATTACCCAAATAAGCATTTTTCGAGGAAAAAAAAAATTAGAAAAAATAAAATTTACTCAAAAAAGTATTTTTCGGGAAAAAAAGAGATAGTGGAAAAATAAATTTCAAGGGGAAAAAAATTCATTAAAAAAAAATTGAAAAAACAATGACCCTCTGTAATGGTGTAATGTGTGTAATAAGCGAGTTCACGGTTGCAGTCTGAGCATGAGCAGATAAAGGTCATTGCAGAACAAATTTTGAAATACACGGAGGCGATATTCTCACCTGTGTATCATGAAGTGCACTGAATGTGCATGAATGCATAATGTTACATAACTTTCATGAGCACGTATCCAGACTGGATACGTGCTCATGAAAGTTATGTAACATTATGCATTCATGCACATTCAGTGCACTTCATGATACACAGGTGGAAGTATTCTTTGAAAAGAGGAAACAAATGCTATTTATATAGCCCCTCCATCGCTGTAGGAGTGATTATTTCAAAATGTACAAAGTGGGACCTCTTCATGTTTTGAAGATCTGTGGATATTTGTGGGTCATTGCAGTAATGTGCTAACCGTGAACTGGTCTATTGGTGACATACAGTCCTCAAGAGGGCGACATGCATTGATTAAAAATATATTCATTTCACCGGCCGGTAAAATATAACCAACCAGGAAAATATAACAATTTGGATCCTCGCAATTGATATCATGTGACGAGCTCTGGACCAATCACATCTCGGTATCTGTCTAAGCTATTGATAGATATTCTATATAATGTTTCTCCTTTGCGCCATAAAATATTGTATCGCTAATGCATTAGTGCAGCCAAATGAGGTAGGTAGGTAGGGACGGAGGGAGGGAGGGAGGGAGGGGGTGGGGTGGAATACCCCCTTAGATAATGATTCTTCAGAATGATAAAATCGGTCATTCAACATTCTTCAAGCATATTTGGCAATATATTGGCAAAAACTAGGCAATATTTTGTTACATATTGTCGGTACATGCTACACCCTCCCCTGCCTTAGTTAGTTCTTTAACCCTAATAGGGCCGGGGACACAATGCCCCCCCCCCCCCCCCCCCGTCGAATTTCTGCCGCTGCATCAAAACCCCTGAACCTTTGGCGCTGACATTTCATGAGTTATTTTCCTCATGTCTTCCGCACATTGCGATACCAAATTTGTTATGGGCTGACCTATGGTGCGGGTGTTAGGTGACAAAATATCATCACATGTCAATCAAAATATGTAATTTTCATAAATGTGCGTGTGTAAGTATATTGCAGTTATATGATCTTTAATCACAATAACTATCTTTAATTCTTAGGTTGACTCATCATGGACACTTCGATGCCAAACTTGCAGATATCTCGCTCGATGCTAACATACGAATCGGTATGCAGTTCTATCCGGAGTTCTATATTCTAATTCTCAAACTCGCAGAAGAAGAAAATAATTTTGCTTTAATATCACAAAAGGCAATGCTATATTCTTAGTACTACATCATTGTGTTCTATGTAGAGGTAGCGTGGTCTAGTGGATATGTTTTCGGACTGTAAATCATATGGTTTGCAGATCGAGTCCAGCCGCGGGGCTAGTGTCCTTGGGCAAGATATTAATCTACATTTGCCACTCTCCACTCAGGTGTTCAATGGGTATGTGGGAAGACGGGTGTTTGATCGTCTTATCATGGTAGTTCAGCTAAAGCTAAGGTAATAATATGATTATGGTATTCATAATGATAAGGCTACTCTGGGTAAACAAGACATATCATTATCATTATAACTATTTTAAGGCTGAGTATCCTTGAATAGCGTATTTGCAATGACGCCTCGTGTGCACCGGGTCCGACACTACTCGCATTATTTTCTCCCCCCCCCCCCCCCAGGAGTGGACTCTACCGGCAGACCTACAGCAAGTGCTGAAAGCTGTTATTTCCATGTCGGATATGTTCATGTCGATCTTCATGGCACGGCTCGGTACGTATTAACTTAGCTCTTTTTTTTTCATCCTCGGACAAATACAACGTGAAAAATCACTCCGGGCGACTAAACTACCCCAGACAATTGTTCCCTCGGGCAAAAACCGCTGTAACATTCCCCGAACAACTGCCTCTTAGCAAACGGAACGATTCACTTTTTTGTGTAATAAGGGCTTTACCCCAAAATGCTTAAATTGCAAGTCAATGTTGGTATGGGGACGATACGAACCAGAGGGTAAAGTTGTGACCCCCCCCCCCTCCTCAGCACACACACAGTCATTTGCATTGCGAGATTTTAATCTCGTTGTCGAATAATCAGACATTTTAAAGACCTTTTGAGGGGTGATTTTCTTTGACAATTCTTGGCAAATTTACATCAGAAATGAGCGAAATCCCTCTATTATAGCCTATTATATTTCCCTCTTGTTACGAATCTAGTTATTATTAATGATTATACATAATATTCACGATGATTATGAAAATGTATGCGCACGGGCAAATGAGTTAGTTACATGGAAGACTTTAATAAAGCACCGGTCATGGATAAAAGTAAGCTAATTTTCGTGATTATTAAGGACTTTTAGATTGAGTTGACGAGAACGGCGTGAATTACGTCCACTGATCATGCGTGTCTATGGCAAGACGTTTTAACATTTATTCCTATTTCTTGATATCAAGAATTACCATTGCTTTATAACAGAAAATCATTTCAAGAAATAAGAATAAATGTTAAAACGGCTTGCCATGGACACGCATGATCAGTGGACCAGGATTTTTTTAGGGGTGGGGGCCCAAATTTGAAATCAATTTGAAATTTAGTGTGCTGAAATATGAAAATCGTGCCGGCCGAAAATTCTCTCAGTTGGGGGGGGGGGGGTGGTAGTGAGCATTTTTTTTTTGGCTCTCGAAAATTTGAAAAATTGCACCCCCCCCCCCTTGAGCGCCATTCTCCAAAAAAAGGTAAAATTAACGTTAAAAAATGTAAAAATACACATTTTTTCCCAGGGGGGGGGGGGGACCTGGGCCACCCGCCCCCCCCCCCCCTGTATCCGCCACTGCAGTGGACGTTCACGCCGTTCTTGACCACTCAATCTAAAAGTTTCTTATGATTTAGTGTCTGGTGAGAATACGATGCTGAAAAAGTATTCTAACATGATGGTCTTTATTGCAATCGTTTCAGGATGTTTGAGGATAAGGTCGCCGATAAGTTGAAACAGACCTTGAATCAACAGGTAAATTCGGAGCCAGCGTCATTTTTTCTCTCTCTTGGGGTGGGGGGGGGGGCAGAGGGTACGATCGTTGAACACAAATATGAAAAATCAGGAACAAAGGGGAAAAAAATGTAAAGAGAAGTATTAAATCGAGAGAGGTCTCACGAAAGGGGGAAGGGCATGGGTAAACAAAAATCAGTCATAACAAATTGAGAGGGGGGAGGCGGGGGGAGGGTCTAAATTTAAACTTTCCAATGGGGGGGGGGGGCAAGAGAAACTAATGACGACACTTCTCTTAAAAGGTGATCATGAATATTCAGTTGCATTTACTAGTAGCAAATGAATGCTTTACAATGAGAGCCCTTCTTGCATGTCTACTTTTAAATAAAAATTAAATTTACATAATACAGAATAATACAGAATCTGTGATTTTCATTTACAAATGTTTTTTAAGAGCATTTCCATCATTTTGTCGAAACCACTATAATTGTTTCTTTTTACATATAGAGTAAGATTACTGTGTTTATTGATGTTAATACACCAGTTTACAGTTGTATCAGTGCGCATGAGCAGACAGTTGACCTCGGGTCATTGGCCCCGGAACAGGGCCAATTTGGCCCTGTTCCGGGGCCAATAACCTCTGACCTCTGGTATTTATGCGTAAATTAAGATTGCGCCCATGCAAATGATGATATGCGCGCACAACGCAGCGCGCAGGCAGTGATATCATCATAATTTGCATGGGCGCAATCTTAATTTACGCATAAATACATGACCTCTAGGTCATTGGCTTTGTTTAATCGCCAATTAAAATGGCGCACACAACTGTAAACTGGGGGGTGTTTCACAAAGATCCTAAGTAGAACTTAACACTAAGTTGGACTTAAAAATTATGGACAGCCATTGGAGTCTTGAAATTAAATGTATTCAAAAGCAGATATTTAAGTATTTTAGACTTTTTATAAATTCCACATCCAGAACATGAAATCTCCTTGAGGATAGAAAATATGAATGATTTGAATCAACATTTTATGCCTTTCAAAATAACTTTTACAAAATATTTTCAAAGATGCTAATGGCTTTCCATAATTTTTAAGTCCAACTTAGAGATAAGTTCAACTTAAGATCTTTGTGAAACACCCCCCTGGTGTATTATATTCCTTTCTAATTCAGGTCTGCAGCAGTGTTAACAAAGCTATCAATCAGGATCTGGAGAACAAATTGAGAGCGCTAAACGGTAAAACAGTTATGTCAGCTAAAGCATGTGTAGACAAATTGTTGGGCTTACTAAATGATTAAACTCTCATCGAAAAATAATTCATAGGACTGTATATTGGACTACTTTACAATTTAATCCGTATTTTACGAAAGGGGAACTTATAGACCTTACACTAACTTCCTGATTTTGAACTGAAGCCTATATAAACCCTGCGTCGATTTTAAATTTAGTAAAATACGGGCTTCTTATAAAGGACAGCATTTCAATAATTTTCAAATACTGTAATTATATTTCTAGCTTATTAATGAGATGTCTAAGTAATTGTTTGTAAGCTTTGTATAAGGCATTTGTTGAATAACCGATGGATCGAAACAAACGAGAAATCCAGTTCTAGCAGATCAATAGATGAGGTTGAAACACGATAATTCCTGCGAAATCTACTCCAATTTCTCTAAATGAATAGTAATTATGCATGTTTGACACTGACAATATTATTTGAAACTTTCAAAATTCTGACTCACTACAAGGCAAAGAAGAATTTCACGGCAGCAAATATTATTATCATTTTTTTATTAGGAAATTATGATGCAACATTGCTCAATATACATGATCTTTTCTCATCATGCAGGGTGCATGTATGTAGATTCCCTTTGAATAGAATGTAAGGTGCACTTGCTATACATGCAGGGGTCTATTACGATCATGAAAAGTTGTCATTTTTTCTCTGACAGTGACCATTCCCTACAAAGACATGTTCAAGTTTGACTACTCTCTCGTCCAAAGTCCATCTTTCAATGGCTCTGTCGATACTGCTCACAAGGTATGCCTTTTCAGAGGCGGATCTAGCTTTTTGCTAAGGGGGGGGGGGGGGGGGGGGGGTAAGGGGGGGGGAGGGGGGGTTGACGAAATTTGAAAATCGCGCCGACCAATATTTCGCTCGGTGGGGGGGGGGGGGGGTAGAAAGCAGTAAAAAAACAAAAAAAACTTATGTTTTACTTTTTGTAATACTTTTTTGTTGCCAGCCCGAGGGGAGGGGGTGTTAAACCCCCTAACCCCCTCCTAGATCCGCCCCTGCTGTTTTTAATGTTTTAAATCATAAATAGCCCTTTCAGGATATGGTTTATCTTTAGGGCTATAAATTGATCACATTAAATTCTCCAAATTGACAACAATCATATATTTTTTTTAATTGCTACATTGTTCTAATAAAATTTAATATTTCTGAAAACACCAAAAAATGTGTACGTTATCAAAAATTTTAAACAGTGGACAATTTTGATCGAAAAATAATGATTTTTAACCTGTCAACGAGTCGCCTACATCTCCACAATTGGGACCACCGTGTTTACCACTTTAAATGACTTTGGCCTTTTGCTCCTTAATCCAGTTCCTAATCCCAGGAGACCGTTGATTATAATCCTAGGTCTGAGCAATATTTGTCTTAAATATCTTGTCAGGGCGAAGTGTACCCGATTGGGAGTAAGGCCGAATGCCCGATACCAATACCCGGGATACCACAAGACTCGGATCGGACTTCGAAGATGCTGTTCTTGTGGGTAACCGACTACCTGCCCAACTCTGCCGGTTACGTCTTACAGGAAACCGGACATCTGCAGCATACTGTGACTCCCGAAAACGTGAGATAATACAATACTTAATTAACTTTTCAAAGTAAACTTCATTATCGAATCTGACAAGTCACTATTTCTGTTTCAATTTCACTCTTCAAAAATATGTCGTTTCTCCCGGCTTACAAAAAACAGAAGTATGTACAAATTTAATTTGATTTAACAATTTAACAAACAAAGTAAACATTGAAATATCTGTATTCGTTTTCATGGTAAATGTTCGATTTTATTTAAAACAGAGAATACGCTTTCACAGGCCTATGGGCCATAATACTCGCTACAAAATAGATATAAAATAGACGGTGAAGAAAGAAGAGAAATTGGTTTTTCAAAGTCAGTTAAAAAAGGCCACATTATTTGCAACAATAGGTGTGCTTATTGCATTATTTACACAATGCAGTATTACTGATTAGTTAGACTCACATAATAATGATACCATTCAATTTACGCGTTATAGTGATCATTTTGTTGGTATTGTTGTTGTTTATTCTTTGAAGGTGCCACCAGAATATAACAAATACCTCAACACCTCAAGCATGGCCCTAAAGATGCTCATCCCGCAGGTAAAAAATGCACCATTCCTTCAGCGGGAATGTAAATTGTGATCCCAATACGATGTTCCACAGTTTATCACAGTGTTTTGATTAGTATTAACACATTTATACTGTACAGTATGTTAAACATAGTCACTGCGGTTACGCTGTGGTGAACCAGACACAAGTGTACAACATAATGCATGCTGTGGTTACACTGCAATGTTTCCACGGTACATTACACTGTTTCGAATAGTGTGAACAAAGTCACTGTCACAGCATGAACACAATCACTACCATATTTTGTAAATGAAGAAAGTTAATGTTGTGACCTCCCTGAGATGTTTCCACATTGTTTCACCATGTTGAGCATAGTGCGACGACAAGGTGAACAAATTCATTGTCACACTATAGGCAGTGTGAACAAAGTCATTTCCATGTACACTATAGGCAGTGTGAACAAAGTCATTTTCATTTACACTATGGGCAGTGTGAACGAAGTAATTTTCACACTATGGGCAGTGTAAACAAAGTCATTTTCATGTACACTATGGGCAGTGTGAACAAAGTCATTTTCATGTACACTATAGGCAGTGTGAACGAAGTCATTTTCATGTACACTATGGGCAGTGTGAACAAAGTAATTATCATGTACACTATGGGCAGTGTGAACGAAGTCATCGTCACACTATGGGCAGTGTGAACAAAGTCATTGTCATGTACAATATGGGCAGTGTGAACAAAGTCATTGTCACACTATGGGCAGTGTGAACAAAGTCATTGTCATGTACACTATGGGCAGTGTGAACAAAGTCATTGTCATGTACACTATGGGCAGTGTGAACAAAGTCATTGTCATGTACACTATGGGCAGTGTGAACAAAGTTACTGCCACGTTATGTACAGTGTGAATACAGCCACCGTGTGAATACAGAGATATATTGAAATATGAATCAAATGCCCCTATCTCTCACACGGCTTAGCATATTGTGGAGACAGTTTGTAGAAATTCATTGTCACCGAGGAGTTCGAACACTGCACTGTCACACTTTAAACTGTTCCAAATCGTCTTTGTGGTGGTACTCCGTTTTTTTTTCTTTCGTTTTTAAAATATATTTTGACCGTGTTCACATTGTAACTTAAAGTGTGAAAATAGTGTTAACACAGTCTGATCTGGTCATATGTTGATCACATTATGAATATGTTGTTATACCACTGTGAATATGGGATACAAGTTGTCTTCACAATATCAACACAGTGATAAAACTATGAATCCATTTAAAGATGTGTGAATACTGACAGTAAATAAACTGTAAAGGCAGTAATTTACACACTGCTTTCATGCACACATTTACATTGTCAATCTGATCAATGACATTGTTGGGGGGGGGGGGGTGGTATTATCATGTTTAAACAAAAAAAATCATTAAAGACCTCCTGCAAATTCATTAATATTTCCTTTTATCTTTACACCTCTACGATCACAAATATCCAAAGTATTAGCCTTCACATCAAAGAGTATTCACTCGATAATTCTGTTTTGTCCCTTTTTAAACACCGAAACTTTCAGATCAACAAGATGTACCCGAACATGGCGATGTGGATTAGTCTGAACAGCACCAAGGCTCCCGCGGTCAAGATCGCTCCGGGCTGCATCCAAGCCGTCTTGACTGCCGACTGCTCCCCATACGCAGTTCAGCAGAACAAGACCAAGACCTTCCTGTTCACACTCGGCGTGGTATGTACTTTTTAGTTGGTAACAAAAGTGACAGGAATCAACGCATTGCATTATTTACGGTAACCGATTTATTAGAATTATGGGATTTATAATTTAGTTTCATTTAACATCAAGATAACCTTTTTTGTTACTTTCTAATATTTTGTGCTTTCTTGCGCAGCCATACCTATAGGTAATATATATAGTTGATATTAGAAAACAAAATATCGGAGAGAAAGAGAGAGAGAGAGAGACAGAGACCAGGAAAGAGTTTGTGTTAGAGAGTGATAGATATTTGAAAGTATTTGTCTTAGGCCTTCACCTCAAAATATGATTTAAAAAACATGTAGTTTCTTTCTGGTATGGTTGTGAGTTTTAGAAATATATAAGGATCTATTGAATTTGTGGTCCCAAAGATTTATCCAGGGACTTTATGGCATGTCTCTGATTTATCTATCGATATTAATTAACAGACCATTACTGTGGAATTGACTGTCGGGACGAAGGGCAACAACATCACGTGGGTCGTGTCCTCTTTCAGGTAATTCCATTAAAACTGAGATCATATTAAGTGCATCAAATATAAAAGTGTTGATGCGATCTGAACACCCCTTTCAGAAATGGAGAATTTATTCAGTTGTTGGTATATCGTTTATGAATATGATGAGCCCTTATTATCCTCATTTTTGTGTATGCATTTTTATCCTAAGTTGATAGTCTTGTTTTGAGGGTCCTTTCCTGTTTCATTATTTGTATAGCCTTGATCATGATTAAAATATTTGGACTAAGTCTCAATATATTGAATTAATTTTATTTGAATAGAATCATTTACTTAGTATCTTTCTCTTGTATGTAATTTGACAGCCCCTACCCCAAAATTTGATGAGAGATGCATACGTGGGTTCAAATTAAATACTTTGATTCGATTCCAAATCGATTAAAATGTGTTTTTTTCTTAAATCTATGCGAAAACTTGAACTTGGTTACTCTGTAATATGTGTAGAGGTGTAAAAGTATGGCATTGTGATTTAATTTCATAGCAAACCACTTATCGAGTCCAGGGGGAAACAACGGGTGATGGCTTTTAATTTAGTGGAGAATTAAATCGTAGAATTAAAAAATTAATAATTCTAACGGAAATCTTAGAAGAGCTGTCGTCATTTTCTTTCGCACATAGAACCACTTTGAAGGAGGGTCACTCTGAAGTGGGACCTATTCCGGTGAGTTGACCATTACATTGAATTTAATTTCACTTATTAACCATATATACATGTAAAAGCAAAACATACAATAGAAAACAGAATACATACAAAATACAAAGCAAATATGGACCACAAAGAAGCAAATTGCTTATAAATAGGGCCCCCACAAAAAGAAAATTAAATTAAATATAATTCAGTCACCATACCCACACATGCACACAGTCACACACACATACACACATACCTACATGAATACTGTCGTTACAAACTTTTAAATAGGAATTTTCGACAAAGCTTTTAAAAAAGGATAAAGTTGAACTTAATTTTTATAGAAGTGGGTAATTGGTTCCACTTCTTCAAGCCTACAACATTTAATGAATTACTTTGGGTTGATGAAAATGGTCTTTTTGATGAGTGGCATGTGAATGGATTTTTGAATTTTGAATAAACATATTATATATTTCACATGAAAAATGTTATGTCTTACAGAGTACATAAAAATTAGAGTATTGAATGTATTCAAATCGTATGAAGGCAATGTTTGCATCTGTTTAAAGAGTGGTATACTTCGACTTTGCATTTGCATTCATAAATTCATGCTGATCACTGTTATCACTCTTTATTCAGTCTCTTTAAAGATAAGTAATGGTAAAAGGGACAGTAATAAGTCCATACAAAAATGTTGTCACAATATTGCGATGCTCGCGATCGCAACTACTTTCGAAAAATCATCCTAAGGCAATTCCATAGGGCTTTCACGAAAGGGCGCAAGACGTGAACGTGATACGTGATACGTGACTGTTCGTTGCAAGCCATTCCATAGCATTGTGCGTCACCTATTGAAAGGTGCGAGCATGGCAATGACGTATTATGTAATCCGAACATGATCTTTACGGGACCTAACATACATTTATTCTTTCTTCTTTGTCTCGCAGGTCTCTAGCATTCAGCAAAAAGTCGACATGGCGATCAAGTTGTTCATACTCCCAAAGATAAATCGTAAGATCTACTTGCCAGTATTTTCATGATATAACAACCCAGTATGCTCTGTTTCAGAGTGGTTTCTCCCGTTATTTTGTAACATTCTGAAAGAATTTCAGCGTAGCGTATGTATACGAAGGATGCGAATAAGCTAAATTATCAACTTTCATGTGTTATACTTTCAAATATAATTTTTATAAATCAATCTATCTATAAACGTACCCTTCAACCAGCACATAGCAATATGTGATATAATTAATATACTGGATTAATAGTACTAATACTGGGCCTAGTGATTACGACCCGGTGACCCGGGTTCGAAACCAAGGCGATGCGATAGTGCCCTTTGGTAAGGCATAAATCCTCATTACCAGGTCCCTCGGAGAGGAACTAAAGTCGTCGGCCGTCTGGTTGCTTACTTACAAGCATTTATGCTTTCTTAACAGTCAGGTAAAATTACCAAATTAAAATTATCAACAACAAATTATCAAAAAAGTTATGGTTCTTCTTTGTACTTACTTATTAACTCTAACTGTTTTTGTTTGGTTTTTTATGTGCACTTTTTGCTTACTGATTATAACACGGACGTAAAGATCTATAAAAAAAAATCAACCTAAGAAATGCCAATATCCCTGCGGTCACCCTTTGAAATATATGAACATTACACAAAGTGAAAAGAGGGAGTTTTTAGTACATATTTTGCCCGCCCCCCCCCCCCGACTCAGGGTGGGAATGACCGCATGCGTGTTGCCAAACACTTACTGTCCGGTAAAGGGGTACTTTTCGTGCGACAAAGTCCGGCCCGAGAATTGTAAAAAAAAGGGGTGTATTTGACTTTTCACCCGGAGATTTCTTTAAAAAGGGGGTGTTTTTCCTTTTTTTCTCTTATCTCTTTGGACTCCTGAGAAGTTATTCCGAATCTAGGGGGGTACATTGAGCATTTTCCTGATTTAGGGGGTCTCCAAGGCAGGAAAAGCCCGCGAAAGGGGGGTCCGGAAATGTTGGCAGTCCTCAGATAGGGGTGCTTTCAAAAAGAGGGAACGAGCATATGCGTACCCTTAATAACACTGAGTGGGGGGGGGGGGGGGCCGGGATATTTTGTTAGAAAATAAACACATTATGATTTTAATCATGCCGTTGTTTTTGATTAACAGGAATGGGCGTGGCTGGAGTTCCTCTGCCCAAAATGGATGGGTTTGAGATGACAAATACATCCATCACACCAGGACTGGTAATACTAAATGTTTTTTCTTTTAATTTAATATTTTTATATATCATTTCTTAAGGTTCAAGTATTTTAACTTGTTTGTATTAGGTCACAATGTGTTTTTTTTTGTGTGTGTTGGCTCTTATTAATGATTGATATATTTAACAACTAAATTAATGTGCAACTTTAGATTTATTTCTCTACTTAGTAATGAATGAAGCAACTTCCGATATCTAGGCATTTTTAATAAATGGCCCAAATATCTGACATCCCACCCACATACTGTTTTACCGAGAGGGCCTAAATATGTTCAAATTATGATAATCTAAGAAAAAAAGTCTGAATACCTCCCGGGAAACGATTTTTTGTTTTGTTTGGGGGGGGGGGGGGTGTTCGTATGCCCTATACCCCCCCCCCCCCCTCCTGGTATCTGAAACTGATTGTCAATGCTTACATTTACTATAACACACTGTACATTGTATAGGGCTGTTGCTTATCTTGGAGCTAGGAGTTCGGTTTCTATATAATTATCACGTAAACTGAAATTAAACTCACTACATTACTTCAACACAGAACTGAATAATTAATATTACAAATGAACATAAAGTTAAAGACCAATCCTTTTATTTACTTTTCTGGTCTTATACAGGGATTCCTGAAGATTGGAACCGATCTCGTTCACACGCACCAATCGGCCAATGCCGCCTAACGACTTTGTTGGTCCGTCTTGCTGGTCATAATAGTATAGGTCTTTACATTCACGATATGTGGCTTCTACCACGGACCTACTATATACATGCTTCTATCGAGCTAGGATATGTTGTTGTTGTTGGTAGTGGTGCTTTAATATGTCGATTGTCCATCGATTATTGGATGATTTTCGCCAGAGAATAACTTAAGGGTGTGGTCCATGCATGTAAATATAAAATATATCCTATAACACTTTCAATTTCACAAAGGACGTGTCGAGCTGTAAAGTTCACTACTTATATCATCACTTTCACACTATGGCCTAGGCCTACTACCGGAAAAGCATATCTACAATAAGAATTCGAGTTTCACTTATAATTATGTACTAATTTTTCTTAAAGAAATACATGTATTAGGTTAGTATTTTCACATGCTTGATAAAATGTTATCATCATTGGTATGCTCAAGATGTAGTGTAAAATCTGAACAAAGTAGATCAGTCGTATTAAAATAATGCTGTTTTTGAAGCTGTGACTGCAATGTAAATATTTCGCCATAGGCAGTGGTAACTACAATGGAAATTAAATTGCGTTAACATGGTCAAACAATGAATGTGGCTATAATTGCAGTAACATATTTTCATTGATAATGAGTAATAATAGTGTTGTAAAAGTACTTAATAACATATGACCATTTTTTTGTCATTTTCAAACAAGCTTGAGAATTTAGTAAATTTTAGTTTATTTTTTATGAGTATGAATACAAAATACAATGGGAGGAAACTCAGGAAAGTACTCGATTGTTAAACTTTGAATAGACAAATATATGTTACAACAATATTAAGCCCTACATCACTGAAGGCGATCCTTTCCTTCTCATTTAGTTTTAAAAATGTTTTATTAAGCGGGTGTATAGGACCTATATTAGAAACTTTCAATCGACTATTGTTGGTGAAAAGGGTGAAATTGAAATTTTAAATATAATTGCTCTTAAAGTATGCCTATATTTTGTCAAGATAATGAAATTTGAATAAAATGCTCCTTATGGCTCTGCCAAAAGCAAAACTCACTTTAATTTTGATTTTTAGTTTTACTTTAAAGACAGAATACGGAAAGCAAAACACAAATGTAACAATAAGGAATAAGATGATGAGGGGGGGGGGGGTTGCAGAGAATGGGAGAGAGGCAGATATCAATAGGCAGACAAATATGGGATGGTGGAGCGAGGAAGAGAGAGAGAGAGCTCCGAGGAAGAGAGAGAGAGAGAGAGAGAGAGAGAGAGAGAGAGAGAGATTTATTTAACAAAAATTGGAGCAGAGCTTCATTAATGCTCCGCGATAATTTTCTGCACTAACCGAATTCCTAACTTCATCCCTGAACCCAACACTAAACCTAACCCTTACCCTAAACATAACCTAAAGCCCAATAGCATCCCTCAGACGCATACGCAGGGTGGGTGGGGGGGTTAACCCCCTCATTTTTTTTAATGTGTGTAGTTTGAAGGGAAAAAAATTCCTCTTACCCCCCCCCCCCACCCCCCCGCTTATTCAACGGCTGGCTGAGTAGTTGCGATTTTGGGGGGACCCAAAAAACAGTGTTCTTTACCCCCCCCCCCTCCCCGCTTATTCAGCGGCTGGCTGAGTCGTTGCGAAATTTTCGGCCCGATTTAAAAATGTTAACCCCCCCCCCCCCCCCTTGAAAAAAAATCCTGAGTACGCTACTGGCATCCCTAATCATCACCCTATACCTTTAACGAATGTAAGTACACAGAAAGAAGACGTCTTAATAAAGGTTAGACGTGTGTATATTAAATAAACTTTGAATTTGAAGTGAAAAAACATTATGGGCAACGCCTCTATAAAGCGTAAATATGAAAAACTAATAATAAACTCAAGTTAGGTTCGGTTCAGTTTAAATCTTATCAAGATCTATTATGTTCTCGAAAGCTTTGATGGAGATAAATTAGAAAACATTTTGACATATTTGCTTGTTTCAGCTTTCGATTCAATAATTGCCAATGACGCAGTTGGTGTTTGTCCAGGAGGAACCGCTCTTATTCTGCACAATCATTCACCTCTCTCTTTCTTTCTCTATCTCTGCTCTCTTTCTCTCTCCCTCTCTCTCACTCTCTCTCTCTCTGTCTCTCTCTCTCTCTCTTACACACACACACACACACACACACTTTCTCTCAATGTATCTCAGTATCTCTCTTTCTCTTTGAATTTTGTTCTCTCTCTATCTTTGATTTTATATGTGCCCCTTGCCACCATCTATTATAGCTACAACTGTCGTAATTGCTAACTTTGAGCACTATATATAATTATTATTATGAAGCGCTACGACAAAATCATGGCGTAAAATCCATAACTGTTGGGGGAAAACTTTATCAATATGTAATATCTTCGATCTTCGATGAATTAAATTTGTGTTTGTATTTGTGGTCATTAGCAAAATGTTGCTTTCCTGTTGACAAAAATGGTCTTTACCCCCCCCACCCCCCCCCCCCCCCCCCCCCCCCCCCATCGTGAATGAAGTTTCTAGCGACGCCCCTGTCAGTTATGTTGATCAATGATTAACATGAATTACAAACGAATCTAATGTCTTTCTACTTACACAAACCATGATAATTAATGTATCTCAGTTGCGACACTTGATTATATTAAAAGTCGAGTGCAGATCTTTTCCTTCCTCATTCGGCGCTAGAAGCAAGGAGAGCTAGAAGGGCGATTTTCTTCCAGCGCAGTTTACAAACAAATTTTCGTTCGAAATGGCGACGCTGAAGAAAATAAGTTCCCATATTTTGGTGGGCCTTGTGGTCGGATGCGCCCTGCTCCAACTGACACAAGGTTTCACGATCGGGGACTACCCTAAGTGGAAGCTGGCTGGCTGGAACAAACTACCAGGCTTCAAGGCGAGGATCACTCAAAAGGGTCTGGACTTCTGTGAGTATAATACCAAGAAACTGAGTTTTGTTTGAGTCAATTCAGGCTTTTTATGTATTTCATTATGTAATAGTTTGACCGGGGTCAATTTTAAGTTTGTTGGAGATTTTGGTGAGTACAGAGATTAAATGTGTTTGTCTTCATCACCTTGAAGCAGCACTTACACTGGAAGAAGAAGAAGAAGAAGGAGAAGACGAAGAAGAAGAAGAAGAAGAAGAAGAAGAAGAAGAAGAAGAAGAAGAAGAAGAAGAACACTCATACCCGTAGAGATGCACTGACCAGGCATTTGACTTTGAGACACGAAATTTGGATTTCATAGTAAAGTTCCTATTTTTCATTACGGATTTCATCTTGTTAAATGTATCCCTTTCGACTACTGAACCTATAATGATCTAAATATTAGTGAACCGATTGAGTTCAAACATTCATGTCTATCTCTCACCTCAAGAATTCAAATCTGTTTAACTTTCAAATATCCCGATATGACCTTAAAGGTACTTTGTCCCATTTGCAAGCCAAAAAGGAAAAGATTAAATTCCAACGGCATTTGAAAGACAATACTAATTTAGAACTTCCCTCAAAACGAAAGGGCTTGAAAATGTTTTTTAGTGGGAAAATGACGACCATTAGTTGTCGAATAGACGTGGTTGCAATCCCCTAAGTAATAGTCTGAGGTTTGTCTACAACCTCCTTTGTTAATTCGGGCCATAAAAACTTGTTGATGCTTAAAAGCGTTATAACCTAAAAATGTTACAATTGAAGAACCTTTTGAGACCTTAACCCTATTTAGCCCGGGCTATTTTGAAACTGCATAGCCCAGGGGGGGGGGGGGGCTTCTAAGGCCCCCCGCCCTATGATCTCGGCCGTGAAACGCCCGATCGCCGCGAAAATTTGCATACATGTCAAGTGAAGTGTATAGAATACTATGGTAATTTCAGTTTTTTGAAAAATTCACTCATTTGCATATTTATGGTAATTTATGCAAATATCATACAATTCACATTTTTGCCCATAAATCAGACATTATTCATATTTAAGCATTCTTTCTCACTACATACATTTGTTAGACCATTTGGAATAATAATACAACGCAACAAATTGAAAAACCAGGGTTATTTCTTATGTTATCTATTGTTTTGATAACTTCTTATGTATTTCTTCGTTTGTTTAACTCATGTATTTTATTGTTTTTGTTGTTTTATTTCATTTCCAACTATAATTCAACTATTTTGACCCCAAAATAAACACCTCAACTATAAAAAAAGACCAAATAACCAATGCTTTATCTCTTTATTTGAAAAATGAGATTTCCATATGTTTTGTACACAAATCACAAAAATGAGCGATTTTCGGGCTGACATGCAAAGACAAAAGGATACGTGACTTTGTAATGGTAGGTCCGATTTTCGAAAAATTTCTTTCAAAAGATGCGCAAGACTCGAAAGAAAAAAGTCACAAAATTTCAGTGCAAGATTTTCTTGCGTTAAAAAATTATCGCGAAAAATGTCGAGGGGGAGGGCTTCTAAAGCCCCCCCCCCCCCCGGGCTAAATAGGGTTAAACTACTATCGAATCCTGAGTGATTCTGACCCTGATTAATGTTTCTGTTTTCAATTTTCTTACAGTCAGAGATATCGGCATGGAGACGATTCAGAAACACATCCGAGAAATGCATATTCCTAGTCAGCACGGCTCAGCTGGTCCCATCGACTACGCCGCAACAAAGTAAGCTTTTTAGAAGAACAAAATTGGTCAGTACATTCCACTTTCTAATTCAGTTAAACCTGAAAAAAAAAATGGATTCTATGATCATGTTTAACGAAGGAAAACTTATATTCTACAAATTCATTAAGTCCGACCCTGCCTGGACTCTTTTAAAGATCATTTATTTATTTATTCCGTTTTATTTAAACAGGGTATAGCCCCGTCATGACTGTTTAACAAGGAAAACTTAGACCTCGATCTACTGCCTTCCTTTGTTAAACCCGCTTAAGGCCCCTCTAAAGTGTTGGGAGCCCAACAAAATTTGATGGCAAAATTTCACTTAAGTTGTATCATACATGTACTACTAGTACTACTAGTACTACTAGTAACCTAGTTTTTCACAATTACCTGAACACATGAGAAAAAAATATTGGGTAAAAGAGCAAAAACTCAACTGCACAGTGAAATTGACTCCATTTGCTTCATGGAAGATGTGAGGACGTATCTGAAGAAATTGTAATAAAACATAAGCTTAAAATAATTTCCTTTTTTTTTAAATACTGTTTTTTAGACAGTAATGGGTTGTTTATAAAAGAGTTGCTGGAAACCAATTCCCCGAAAATCACTCTACACTGTGGCTGTAGAAAACGCATTTAAACGGTGCAATGCACGGAGTCGGGACTATTCCCTTTATTTCCTCATTTTTGTTGTTCTTCTTTCTCAGTCAGACATTATACATTTTCTTCAACAACAAAGAAAGAAAAGGCGTTTGCCTAATTATTTTACTCACTATTATGAACAATCAATGCAATGTTAGTGCGTCACACTCTAGAACTTGATACTTCCTTTGAAAGATGAGGAAACAAGCAACTTCAGAGAAATCAAGGTAAAGTTAGTAACTTCTAAAGAGCATGCATGCTTGCATGGTATCGTCTTTGCTTAAAGGCCAACCCAACTTTCTTTAATAACGAGTTCATTCATTGTGTATGAAAAGCAGCGAAATAAGAGAAACAGAATGGCGAGAGTTTGAATAAACTGGACCATAAGAAGAAGGTTGTATGAGTGTTTGAAATATGCGTCATTATATCTATAAGAGTTGTTGGAACACATGAGAAATTTGTCACATTGACATTACCGATTCAGCCAATTGAAATTCTCATAGTTACGCAGAGTTATGACAACTTTAAAAAATGAGTTACTTTCTTATCGCTTATTGTTTCCTTGGTTTCGGTCAAACTGTTATTAGTCAGCTGATCTGATCATTTTGCTTTCTTTTTAGATTATTTCTTTAAGTGGATGCCTTTTGTCTCAGCTGTCAAGACTGTGGGCATGATCAAAGAGGGTTGTTTCATTTCCTCGTATCAGCTGGAAATAAAGAGTATGACAATTGAAAGGGAAAGAAAAGTGGAAGGGGAAGAGAGCCATAGTGGTTCTAGAGGGGGATCGGGTCTCAAGCACCCCTACGTCCAAAAAATAGAAAATATCGAAGTCCAAGTTAATAATAATAATAACGTGCTAGAACCAAGTCTGGAAGAGAGAAAGAGAAAGAAATCCCCACTGCAATTACAATTTATTTGGACGAATAATTGAAATTTGATTTCTTTAAGGACTTTTAAAGTGAGTCGTTTTCGAATTGGATAAAGCGATGTAGTGTACTTAGTACGTCTTCTTCTTGGGTGTCAGTTCCAAAGTGGAGGAAATACCAAATAATGTATAGTGGAGCTTGGTCATTAATGACAAATGTAGATGGGGGAAACACAATCAAGCTATCACTTCCCTGTTGCTGTTTCTACTGCTACAATGAAACCAAGTTTGCTTGATGATTGAAAAATAGTGGCGTAGAAAAAAAGGCGTGCCCCCACCCCAATCATTGTTTAATTGTAAGGCGAAAAAAATATCCTAGAAAAGGAGAGAGAGAGAGAGAGAGAGAGAGAGAGAGGTGAGGGAGGAGGAGGAGGAGGGGAGAGAGAGAGAGAGGGAGGGGGGAGAGAAAAGGGGGAGAGAGAGAGAGAGAGAGAGAGGGGGGGAGGGAGGGGGAGAGAGAAAAGGGGGGGGGGGGGGGGGAGAGAGGCTGAGAAAGCAACCGATGTCAATCATGGTTGAGCCCAAACTTTACCGATGACCGCACGGTTAATGTTAAACTTAGGTAACCCGACACATGCTCCGCCGACGATTACTCCGCCGACATTTACTCCGCAAAACGCGACAATTGCTCCGCGACATTTGCTCCGCGACATTTGCTCCGACGTCAAATGCTCCGCCGACAGTTGCTCCGCCGACAGTTGCTCCGCCGACAGTTGCTCCGCCGACAATTGCTCCGCCGACAGATGCTCCGCCGACAATTGCTCCGCCGACAATTGCTCCGCCGACAATTGCTCCGCCGTCAATTGCTCCGCAAAACGCGACAACTGCTCCGCCGACATTTGCTCCGCCGACATTTGCTCCGCCTGAAGCGACACTTGCTCCGCCTGAAGCGACACTTGCTCCGCCGACATTTGCTCCGCCGACAATTGCTCCGCCTGAAGCGACAACTGCTCCGCCGACATTTGCTTCGCCGTCAATTGCTCCGCAAAACGCGACAACTGCTCCGCCGACATTTGCTCCGCCGACATTTGCTCCGCCGACAATTGCTCCGCCGTCAATTGCTCCGCCTGAAGCGACAATTGCTCCGGTGACAATTGCTCCGCCCAAAAAGTGTCCCATAAACTACAAATGCTACTAGTACTACGACAAATGCTTCGCCGACAATATTTTTTTTACACGGGTTATTTTCGTTTCTTTTTTTTTCTTCTTCATTTTCTGAATGCATTTCATGAAATAATGTAGATGAAATGAAATGAATGAATGTTGATGAAGTGGGAGGAAAAAGGAGTTACCTAAAAGTCATTTCGAATATACTGAAATAATTTTCCATCTATCACTGTACGTCCCATATAATGTACACTAAACACTCATTACATGTCGTGGGAAGTTTTTAAAAAAAAAGTAGAGCAGCAAGCCACATTCCCCAATACGCGCATACCTCCTAGTTAATTTCAAACAGCTCATCAATATGTAAGACCTGAAATAACCTCAATCCAAGCAAGCACATGCATCTTACTACAATGTACTAGTTCATCATGGAAGTTCTAGAAAACAACAGGGGAGGGATCAAAATAAGCTTTGAAGGGCACTTATACGCAGAGAAGAGAACCCATTCAGACGGGAAAATTAGATGGTAGCCTTTCTGCTTATTCCCATTTATACAAATCATTCTGTTGCAGTTTGATGTTAGTTCTTCATAATAAGCCAATTGCTCTTCTTCCGGTGGCTCCGTGAGTCCCTTAAAGTCAGTGAAAACAAAGTACTCGAATGAGACGGGGTGTTTTACACACTAATATTATAGTAAAGCTACATACACTTAACTGAAGGAAAGAAACCTATAGAAAACGGACTGGATATTATTGAAAATACTATTCTAAACAAGAATGTACTACATTACGTTTCAATTTCACGAGAGAAATAGAACTCGAGAGGGGGAGAAGAGAAGAAGTGATGAAATTGAAAAAAGACTAATAGCATGAGAGGAAAGAAAAGAGCCAAGAAGACAAGAAAAGGGTGTAAAAAGGGAAAGGAGGAGCAAGAGAGAAAGAGAGAGAGATAGCCTTGAGCTTTGGATCAGCTAATGAGTAATACATGAAACAGATTTTGAGCGGAGTAATTATCTTTCGCCGGAGAACTTGCATAAGGAGCTATAACTTGATTTTCTCTTTTTAATCAAACATGGGGAATAGCAAAAAACGGCTGAGCATTTATTGCACTAATTACCAGAGGAGCATTCATATCTTCCAAGAGGCCGCACATTTGGATCGGAGAGCAATTTTATTGTTGGCGGAGCATTGTCTTTTAAGGGGTACTTTTGGGGAGGAGCAACAATTGTCGTAGTAGCCTTTGTATTTTACGGGGCAATTTTTGAGCGGAGCAAGTGTCGGCGGAGCAATTGTCGGCGGAGCAATTGTCGGCGGAGCAAATGTCACCGGAGCAATTGTCGCTTCAGGCGGAGCAATTGTCGGCGGAGCAATTGTCGGCGGAGCAAATGTCACCGGAGCAATTGTCGCTTCAGGCGGAGCAATTGTCGGCGGAGCAAATGTCACCGGAGCAATTGTCGCTTCAGGCGGAGCAATTGTCGGCGGAGCAAATGTCGGCGGAGCAAATGTCGGCGGAGCAAGTGTCGCTTCAGGCGGAGCAAATGTCGGCGGAGCAAATGTCGGCGGAGCAATTGTCGCGTTTTGCGGAGCAATTGTCGGCGGAGCAATTGTCGGCGGAGCATCTGTCGGCGGAGCAATTGTCGGCGGAGCAATTGTCGGCGGAGCAACTGTCGGCGGAGCAATTGTCGGCGGAGCAACTGTCGGCGGAGCACCTGTCGGCGGAGCATTTGACGTCGGAGCAAATGTCGCGGAGCAAATGTCGCGGAGCAATTGTCGCGTTTTGCGGAGCAAATGTCGGCGGAGCAATCGTCGGCGGAGCATGTGTCATGGAACCTAAACTTAAGGTGACCCTTCATTTTTTTATCTTATTTTAAATTTCATTTTGTATCTTCACTTCCCTAAGACATTTTGATGTTGATGCATAGGCCAACAGGATATGAACAAGTTCATTGATGTGGTATTACTTCACAGATGTACGATGAGGAACTTAAGATGCTTTCTCTTTTTGTAGAATATAGAAAGTAGAAAGTATAATTGCATCTTTTCCCGATGTATATGATACATGTAAGTATAGAAAGGTTAATTGATAAAATTAATGTCAGTCTTTGTGTAGTAATCGCTAAAATGAAACAAGGAAATAAACTTAAAATATTATCGATAACATCTAGAGCTCTTAGTTTGCAATCAGTTTAGAATCTCATGGCTGTATAGAATAGATCGTATAGATTACTGCTGATATTGATGTTGATGAGTTTTATTGTGCCCCAACTATCCAGACTACGATGTTTGTTTTCATTCACTGAGCAGTTTATATTAAATTTATTTTAAACAATGTCATATAGCCCGTTGTAGACCTGTATCTTTACATCATGCATACTTCTTGGACAAAATTTGTTCATAACTAAAGGAGACCTCATCCCAAGAAAAACTGTTATTATTCTGAGAGATATATTATATTCTTGCCCAATAATCTACAAGATTCCCCGACAAAGTGTATGAGCGAGATAAAAAGCAAGAAGAACGTACAGTTTCTCAGCGCGACATATCAAGTAATGTATTTAAAATAATTTTATGGATGCCTCCTTCCGAGGTGTCACTATGAATATGACTAACAAAGAAAGCGGACAAAATATACAGTTCCTCAGGTAGACAAAGGGACATCCCTTCCCTGCTTTTATGTAAAAAGGTGAATATGCATGTGACACCTGTTCTACACATTTGTACATAATAGCAGTGAAGGGATGTTCCTTTGTCTACCTGAGGAACTGTATATTTTGTCCGCTTTCTTTGTCAGTGATGTTCATAGTGTGTACTGTGGTGATGGCGCATTTCATTCACCTGCATTTATCCTTTGTTCTACAATAGACTGGTTTACTAACACATTCAAATATATAGATGTTTCTTTCCTGGGGGCCTAGTGACGAGTTATCCATTAACCTGTTATTAATGAATGAACTACTGTATAGTTGGAATCCAGTTTGCATACATTACTTGTTGCTATGTCGGGCAAGCTTTCAGGTTGTCAAGAACAACATTTTGTTTAAGCTACAGTCCCATATACGTCCCGGACCGTCCCGGACCATCCCGGACCCCATCCGGGGTGATCCGGGATTCGGTCCGTGTTGACACCGTGTTGGCACCGGGGTGGTCCTGGATGGTCCTGGATGGTCCTGGATGGTCCTGGATGGTCCTGGATGGTCCTGGGCGGTCCGGGAGTCGACCCCGGATGTTTTTGACGGTCAAAAACTGCCGGGGTGGTCCGGGACGGTCCGGGACAATAGTTTGATCCGGGGTGATCCGTGTAGCCACCGTGCTGGGTCCGGGGTCATCCGTAGTGGCGCCGGGGCGGTCCGTGTTGATCCGTGGCAGTCCGGGAGTGAGTTATTGACCGCCCAGGACCATCCAGGACCATCCAGGACCACCCCGGTGCCAACACGGTGTCAACACGGATCGAATCCCGGATCACCCCGGATGGGGTCCGGGATGGTCCGGGACGGTCCGGGACGTATATGGGACTGTAGCTTAAAAGCATCACACTTTTTTGAACAAAACATCCCGGACCATCCCGGATCACCCCAGACCATGGTCTGGGATGGCCGAAAAGTCGCTCAGTGGGGGGGGGGGGGGGGGGGGGGGGGGGGGGGGGGGTAAGCGGACACTTTTTTTTTTTTGGGGGGGTCTCAAAATTTCAAAATTTGACATTTTTTTACGTATGGGGGGGGGGGGGTAAGGTCACCTTATTTAGGTTAGCCGTGGGTATAATTTTTTTTTTTTTTTTTTTTTAATAAAAAAAAAAAAAAAAAAAAAAAGCCAAAGGGGGGGGGGGGGGGTTTTAGGTTTTTTTAGGGGGGTTTACATACATTAAAATACCAAAGGGGGGGGGGTTTGAACCCCCAAAACACCCCCCTGCGTACGCCCCTGTTCCTCTGTTATGTATTCTTTATATAGATTTTACCTTATCAGCTATAATTTTCCCCATTGAAAAGTAAAGGTTTTGCTATTGAAATAAAAAGTCTTTCCAATTAAAGCTTGATGTATACTACATGTACAAGTTTGCCTAGTTCGTCACATCATCAAGAAATGGCTGGGCCCATGTCATGATTTCAGAGGCATTACATCATGCCAAGAATATCTTCATTTATATATCTCTTGTACACTGTCGTAAGAAGTATTGTACATCAAAGGGCAGGAATAGGTTTCATTTTTCAAAATACCTACACTCATTCTTTGGGGTGAGGTTTCTTTAACGACTCTAAAATTTGCCAGAGCCTTGTTAGACATAGCAACAACTACTGTATGCAGAGTGGATTCCATCAGTGCATAGAACAACTGTAATACAAAGCAGGTGAAGGAAATACAAATGTAGAAACGAAGATTTCTTGTAAGAATCATGCATATTTGAAAATACATTAGTAAACATTTTTATTCTCCTATGTGTGTAGTATCAGGATCGTCTCCTTTGGGCTACCTGCCTCCATCAATCCTAACACCCCGTCCAGTGATGGCATGTCGCTTCATGTGAGAAAGGGTTCGTTCTTCCTGCGTGGGGATCTCAGTTACGACTTTGTGTAAGTATGTACATCCAGGGGCGTAGCCACGGGGGTACGACCCCAATCATATATGCTCCCTAAAATATTTGTTTTAATAATGTTCTTCCGTTGTATTAGAATTGATTTGATATCGAAGGCTACAATGGACAACGACAGAGAGAGTGGAAGTGAGAGAGTGACAGAGAGAAGGAATCAGCGTGAAAGAGATTTGATAGAAAGAAGACAACAAGAACATTTTTTTTTTGTAATCATTTTCTTTTAATATTTCATTTTCTTTTATGATACCCCAACAAATTACTACACCCCTTTTTTACTCAACCCTTTTTTTACTCAACCCCCATCAACAAAAAAATCGCCCTCTTTTAGAATGATCGGCTTAAGAGCTAAATAACGCAATTTCGTGGGGGGGGGGGGGGGGTACAAAAGGAACTCTTACCCATCAGTCATATGATATTTAGCTACACGTACGTGCGGCTCTCCATGATACAAATTAGTGTTGAGACGTTGTTTCAGTTTCTAGATGGCTCTCAGTTGTCGATAAAGAAGAATAGAAAGTGGCCGCTTGGTAATCAATTGCACAATTAACCCTGTCATTCGCACGGATAGGTATGCCGTGTATAAAATCATTTACATCTCCGGTGTTAAGGGTGATAGTTTGACTGTAAGATCGAAAGCCTTTTTAACAAGCCCACTCGAAACGATGATTAAATACAATCACGCTGTGAATATATTAGTACTTTTATAACCCCAATGATCATTATAATACGCCATAAAATATTGTATCGCGCCATAAAAATATTGCATCGCTAATTCATTAGTGCAGCCCACGGAGGGTAGGGAAGGGGGGGGGGGTGGAATACCCCTTAAGATCATGATTATTCAGAATGATAAAATCGACTCATTCAACATTCTTCAAGCATATTTGGCAATCTATTGGCAAAAAATTAGGCAATAATTTTCTGTTACCCTACCCTGCCATAATCGGTTCCTTAAGTTTAGGAAAATGACCAGGAGGAATTGATGCAGAAGAAAAAAGAGGTAGTTTGTAGTCATCGCCGCTCGCAGCCGTCGTTGTCGTTGTAGCAAGTTTATCATAGTACTAGCATGAGTGGTGGTAGTAGTAGTAGTAGTAGTAGTAGTAGTAGTAGTAGTATAGTAGTATAAGTAGTAGTAGTAGTAGTAGTAGTAGTAGTAGTAGTAGCAGTAGTAGTAGTAGTAGTAGTAGTAGTAGTAGAAGTAGTAACAGCAGCAGCAGTAGAAACAGTAATGGTATTAATAGTTATTGAAGCCTAGTTGTAAAACTGGAATAGTCACGGAATAACATTAAATAATTATCTTAAATTCTTAGGTTTACTCATCATGGAGACTTCGATGCCAAACTTGCAGATATCTCCCTCGATGCTACCATACGAATCGGTAAGCAGTTCTATTCTCATTCTCAAACTCGCAGAAGGAGAAAATAATGTTGCTTTAATATCACAAAAGGCAATGACATATTTGTGTACTAACTTCTACATGTATGTAGAGCTGTCGTGGTCTAGTGAATACGTCCTTTGGCAATACATTAATCTACGATTGCCACTCTCCACCCATGTGTTCAATGGGTACCGGTAGAAAGAAAGTCCTCGGTTGCTTGAGCTCAGCTAATAAAAGCTGAGATAATAATACTGATTGCAGTGCCTCCAGGGAGAACAGTATTGATACTGATGCTACTCTGGTTAAACAACACATATCATTATTATTATTACTATTTTATGGCTGAATGTCCTTGAATAGCGTATTTGCAATAACGCCTCGTGTGCACTGGGTCCGACACTACTCGCATTATTTTCTCCCCCCCCCCCCCCAGGAGTGGACTCTACCGGCAGACCTACGGCAAGTGCTGAATACTGTTATTTCTATGTCGGATATGTCCATGTCAATCTTGACGCGGGCATGGCTTGGTACGTATTAACTTAGCTTCTTTTTTTGTAAATCCTCGGACAACTACCACGTGAATAATCAGTCCGGACGACTAAACTTCCCAGATAATTTTTTCCCTAGGACAATAACCGCTGTAACATTCCCGGGAAAACTTTTTGTGTAATAAGGGCTTGATACCCAAACATGCTTAAGTTGCAAGTCAATGTTACAAAAAAATTTAAAAAAAATAAAAAAAATGTTGGGTCGGGATGGGGGCCGATATTAACCGGAGGGTTTACTTGTGAGCCACCCCCCCCCACACACACACACACACACACACACATTTGCATCGCGATTTTTTAATCTCGTTGTCGAATAATCAGACATTTTAAAGACCTATAGAGGGGTGTACTTTTGGAAAAATCATGGCAAATTTATACAGGGGCGGATCCACGTAGCGATTATTCCGGCCCGGCCCCCCCCCCCTAGCCCCCCAAACGGTAAAAAAATAGGATAATAACGTAAAGTTAACCTTTATAAAACAAAAAACAAAAGCGCCCCCCCCCCCCCCCCCGCTTTTCGCCGGCCGGCTGAGTCGGCACTAAATTTTGTATTAAGATTTGGCTACCCCACCCCCGCCCTTGACGCCGGTGGCTGAGTCGCAACTAATATTTTCTCACGGATTGGGCCCCCCCCCCTCTTCCCGCCAGCTGGATCCGCCACTGAATTTATATCAGAAATGTGGTTCACACCCCCCTCCTACTTTCAAAAGTTTGACCGAAATCCCTCTATAAGCCTATCATATTTCCTCTTGTTACGAATCAAGTTATTATTATTGATTATACATATTCACGTTGGTTATGGATATGTATACGCACGGGCATTAAAGGAGTGGGTGAATGGGAAACTTTAATAAAGCACCGGTCATGGATAAAACTAAGCTAACTTTCGTGATTATTATTGTAGTTATTTTAGTTTCTCTTATGAGATGATGTCGGGTGAGAGTGTGCTGTTGAATCTTCTCGATATAGTATTCTAACAATATGATCGTTATGGTAATCGTTTCAGGATGTTTGAGGATAAGGTCGCCGATCAGTTGAAACAGACCTTGAATCAACAGGTAAATTCAGGGCCGGCGTCATTTTTTCTCTCTCTCTTGGGGAGGGGGGGGGGGGGGGTAGAGTGTACGAAAGTTGCACACAAATATGAAAATCAGGAAGAAAAGAAGACTATTAAATCGAGAGAGGTCTCACAAGGGAGGGAATTGCAGGTAGTAAACAAAAATCAGTCATATCAAATTGAGAGGGGGGGGGGGCTTAATTTAAACTTCCTTGTGGGAGGGGGGAGATAAATCATGACGAACCTGCTCTTAAAAGGTGAGTTTATGATTGAAAAATGTGTTCATGAATATTCAGCTGCATTTAGCAAATGAATGCTTTACAATGAGGGCCCTTCTTGCATGTCTACTTTTAAATAAAAATTAAATTTACATGATACAGAATAATACAGAATCTGTGATTTTCATTAACAAATGTTTTTTAAGAGCGTTTCCATCATATTGTCGACATCACTATAATTTTTTCTTTCTACCTAGAGTAAGATTAATGTGGTTATTTATATTAATTATATTTCTTTTTATCAGGTCTGCAGCAGTGTTAACAAAGCTATCAATCAGGATCTGGAGAACAAATTGAGAGCGCTAAAGGGTAAAACAGTTATATCAGCTAAAGCATGTATAGACAAATATTTGGGCTTACTAAATGATTAAACTCTCATCGAAAAATAATTCATAGGACTGTATATTGGACCACTTTACAATTTAATCCGTCTTTTACGAAAGGGGAACTTATAGACCTTACACTAACTTCCTGATTTTGAACTGAAGCCTATATAGACCCTGCGTCGATTTTAAATTTTAGTAAAATACGGGCTTCTTATATAGGACAGCATTTCAATAATTTTCAAATACTGTAATTATATTTCTAGCTTATCAATGAGATGGCTAAGTAATTGTTTGTAAGCTTTGTATAAGGCATTTGTTGAATAACTGATGGATCTAAACAAACGAGAAATCTAGTTCTAGCAGATCAATAGATGAGGTTGAAACATGATGATACCTGCGAAATCTACAACAATTTCTCTAAATGAATTGTAATTATGTTTGACACTGACAATATTATCTGAAACTTTCACAATTCTGACTGAAGTCACTGAACACAAGGCAAAGATGAATCTCTCTGCAGCAAATATTATTATGATTTTCTGTCTGGAAATCATGATGTAACATTGCTCAATATCCATGATCTTTTCTCATCATGCAGTGTACATATAGATTCCCTTTGCATAAATTTGAGATGCGCTTGCTGTTCATAATGTAGGCGTTTCCTTATTACGGTCCTGAAAAGTTTTCTTCTTTTTTTCTCTAACAGTGACTATGCCCTACAAAGACATGTTCAAGTTTGACTACTCTCTCGTCCAAAGTCCATCTTTCAATGGCTCTGTCGACACCGCTCACAAGGTATGGGCCTTTAAATATCTTTAGGGCTATATCATAGAGCTATTATTAATATATATATCTATGGGCTATATTGATCACATTTGGTTCTCCAGATTGGCAACAATCATATTCTTATACAGTAGGCTTGCGGGCGCACCATATGTGAGAGAGAGAGGATTGAGGAGTCCTGACAAAAGGACCCTCGGTAATCTTTCTTGAGGATGTGTAGTCCTGAAAAGGACTGTTTGTGTAGTTACTCCTGACGACGGATAGTCAACCTGTTCGACACTTCGAGTCACTCCCTCCACTCATCCTCTCCAAGCGCTATAGTTCTCCTTAGGACTATAAGCCAAGAAAGATAACCAACAGTCTTTTTCAAGACTACACAAACAGTCCTTTTCAGGACTACACATCCTCAAGAAAGATTACCGAGAGTCCTTTTTCAGGACTCCTCAATCCCCTCTCTCTCTTTCTCTCTCTCTCTCTCTCTCTAACACATACATGGTGCACCCGCAAGCCTACCGTATATCTACATCACCATGCAAGCCGACACTTACAAGCACCACCCAATCATATAATTATTTCATTGATACATTGTTCTAATAACATGTATTATATCCTGCATCAAAAATTTGTTGGCTTTTGATTGGTTGAGAGCTTGTCACATGACCAAAAATATTTGAGCTATTTTTAGAAAGTACTATATGAGAGTACTATTTTGGTTTACTATTTGGGAGTTGGAAAAAAAAAAGTGAATTTTTTTTTTAATTGAATCAATTTTTTTTCTTCAAATCTTAATTTAATGAAAACAAAATATTTTAAATCTTTTTAGATCAAAATTGACATTTTTTTGTTCTAATTTTTTTTTTTTTTTTTTTTTTACAATAAATTTTTGATGCAGGATATAAAACAAATATACCATGCCTTCTATTCGAGGTACTGGTTAAACTATGGGCCTCGGTGACTCCAAAAGTACCATTTGCTTCGGGGCTGCGCCCCTCAGCAAATAGTACTATTGGAGTCACCTCTTGCGCATAGTTTTAACCAGAACCTCTCAAGGCAGTGTATATTTGTATAATATCTCTGAAAACGGTAAACATGTGTACGTTATCAAAGAGTTCAAACAGTGGAAATTTTTGATCGAAAAATAATGATTTTTAACCTGTCAACGAGTCGCCTACATCTCCACAATATGGACGACCGTGTTTACCACTTTAAATGACTTTGGTTGGCTCCTTATTCCTAATCCCAGGAGACCGTTGATTATATTCCTAGGTCTGAGCAATATTTTTCTTAAATATCTTGTCAGGGCGAAGTGTATCCGATTGGGAGTAAGGCCGAATGCCCGATACCAATACCCGGGATACCACAAGACTCGGATCGGACTTCGAAGATGCTGTTCTTGTGGGTAACCGACTACCTGCCCAACTCTGCCGGTTACGTCTTACAGGAAACCGGACATCTGCAGCATACTGTGACTCCCGAAAACGTGAGATAATACAATACTTAATTAACTTTTTTTAAAGTAAACTTCATTATCGAATTTGACAAGTAACTATTTCTTTGTCAATCTCTCTCTTTAAAAATATGCCATTTCTCTCTACTTACAAATACCAGAAGTATGTAAACATTTAATTTGATTTAACAATTTAACAACAAACATTGAAATATCTGTATTCATTTTCATGTAAATCTTCTATTTTTTTAAAGAAAATACGCTTTCTTACGCCTATGCGTCATAATAATCGCTACAAAATAGATGTAAAGTATAAACGGTGAAGAGAGCAGAGCATTTGGTTTTTCAAAGTCAGTTCAATAAGGTCACTTTATTTGCAATAATAGGTGTGATTATTCTATTATTTACAGTGCAGTAATACTGATTAGGTAGACTCACATAATTATGTATTCATTCAATTCACGCGTTCTATTGATTCTTGTGTCGTTATTGTTGTTGTTTATTCTTTGAAGGTGCCACCAGAACAGAAGAAATACCTCAACACCTCAAGCATGGCTATAAAGATGCTCATCCCGCAGGTAAAAACGCACCATTCCTTTAACAGGAATGTAAATTGTGATCCTAATACGATGATCCACATTTTATCACAGTGTTTTGATTAGTATAAACAGATTTATACTGTACAGTATGGAAAACACAGTCACTGCGGCTACACTGTGGTATACCAAACACAAATGTACAACGTAATGCGTGCTGTGGTTACAATGCAATGTTTCCATGGTACATTACACTGTTTCGAATAGTGTGAACAAAGTCACTGTCACAGCATGAACACAGTCACTACCACACTTTGTAAACGAAGAAAATTAAATGTTGTGACCTCCCTGAGATGTTTCCACTGGGTATCACTATGTTGAGCATAGTGCGACGACAGTTTGAACAAAATTCATTGTTACACTATTGGGAGTGTGAACAAAGTAATTTTTATGTACACTATGGGCAGTGTAAACAAAGTCATTGCCATGTACACTATGGGCAGTATAAACAAAGTTATTGTTACAATATGGACAATGTGAACAAAGTCATTGTCACAATATGGGCAGTGTGAACAAATTCATTGTCATGTACACTATGGGCAGTGTGAACAAAGTTATTGTTACAATATGGACAATGTGAACAAAGTCATTGTCACAATATGGGCAGTGTGAACAAATTCATTGTCATGTACACGCTGGGCAGTGTGAACAAATTCATTGTCATGTACTATGGGCAGTGTGAACAAATTCATTGTCATGTACACTATGGGCAGTGTGAACAAAGTCATTGTCACAATATGGGCAGTGTGAACAAAGTTATTGTTACAATATGGACAGTGTGGACAAATTCATTGTCATGTACACTATGGGCAGTGTGAACAAAGTTATTGTCATGTACACTTTGGGCAGTGTGAACAAAGTTATTGTTACAATATGGGCAGTGTAAACAAAGTCATTGCCATGTACACTTTGGGCAGTGTGAACAAAGTTATTGTTACAATATGGACAGTGTGAACAAATTCATTGTCATGTACACTATGGGCAGTGTGAACAAAGTTATTGTCATGTACACGCTGGGCAGTGTGAACAAATTCATTGTCATGTACTATGGGCAGTGTGAACAAATTCATTGTCATGTACACTATGGGCAGTGTGAACAAAGTCATTGTCACAATATGGGCAGTGTGAACAAAGTCATTGTCACAATATGGGCAGTGTGAACAAAGTCATTGTCACAATATGGGCAGTGTGAACAAAGTCATTGTCACAATATGGGCAGTGTGAACAAAGTCATTGTCACAATATGGGCAGTGTGAACAAAGTTATTGTCACAATATGGGCAATGTGAACAAAGTAATCGTCACACTATGGGCAGTGTGAAATAAATTAATTGTCATGTATACTATGGGCAGTGTAAACTAGTCATTGTCACACTATGTCACTGTGGGCACTGTAAACAAAGTCATTGTCATGTATACTATTGGCAGTGTGAACAAAGTTACTGCCACGTTATGTACAGTGTGAATACAGCCACCGTGTAAATACAGAGATATATTGAAATATGAATCAAATGCACTTTTGGTCCCCTATTTCTCACACGACTTAGCATATTGTGGAAACAGTTTGTGGAAAGTCAATGTCACCGAGGAGTTTGAACACAGCACTGTCACACTTCTAAACTGTTCCAAATCGTCTTTGTGGTGGTACTCCGTTTTTTTTGTTTTTTCGTTTAAAAAAATATATTTTGACCGTGTTCACATTGTAACTTAAGGTGTAAAAATAGTGTTAACACAGTCTGACCATATGTTGATCACATTATGACTAAGCTGTCATACCACTGTGAATATGGGATACAAGTTGTCTTCACAATATCAACACAGTGATAAAACTATAAATCCATTTTAAGATGTGATGTGCACACAATACTTTTTGTGTCCTTGGTATATATCACACTGTCTCACAAAGTGTGAATACAGTAAACAAACTGTAAAGGCAGCAATTTACACACTGCTTTCAGGCACACATTTACATTGTCAATCTGTCAATTGTCAATCTGTTTTGTCCTTTTTTAAACGAGGAAACTTTCAGATCGGCAAGCTGTACCCGAACATGGCGATGTGGATTAGTCTGAACAGCACAAAGACTCCCTCGGTCAAGATCACTCCGAACGGCATCCAAGCCGTCTTGACCGCCGATTGCTCCCCATACGCAGTACAGCCGAACATGACCAAGACCTTCCTGTTTACACTCGGCGTGGTATGTTATTTTAGTTGGTAACAAAAGTGACAGGAATTATTAGGCACTGTATGATTTAGGATAATCGGTTTATTAGAATTATGAGATTTATAATTCAGTTTCATTTAAAATCAAGATAACATTTCATGTTACTTTCTAATATTTTTAGCTTTCTTACGTGATATTAGAAAACAAAATATCGGAGAGAAAGAGAGAGAGAGAGAGAGAGAGAGAGAGAAACCAAGAAAGAGTTTATGTGAGAGAGTGATAGATATTTGAAAGTATTTGTCTTAGGCCTACACCTCAAAATATGATTAAAAAACATGTAGTTTCTTTCTGGTATGGTTCTGAGTTTTAAAAAATATATAAAGATCTATTGAATTTGTGGTCCCAAAGATTTATCCAGGGACTTTATGGCATGTCTCTGATTTATCTTTCGATATTAATTAACAGACCATTACTGTGGACTTGACTGTCGGGACGAAGGGCAACAACATGATACATCACGTGGGTCGTGTCCTCTTTCAGGTAATTTCCATTAAAACTGAGATTAATTATTTGCATCAAATATAAAAGAGTTGATGTGATCTGAACACCCCTTTCAGAAATGGAGAATTTATTCAGTTGTTGGTATTTCGTTTATGAATATGATGAGCCCTTATTATCCTCATTTTTGTGTATGCATTTTTATCCTGAGTTTAAATAGTCTTATTTTGAGGTTCCTTTCCTGTTTCATTATTTGTATAGCCTTGATCTTGATTAAAATATTTGGACCAAGTGTCAATATATTGATTTAGTTTTATTTCAATTAAATCAATTATCTTTCTCTTGTCAGTACATTTTTCAGCCCCCGCTCCCCGAAATTCGATGAGAGATGTATATGTGGGTTCAAATTAAATACTTTATTTAGATTCCAAACCGAGTAAACCTGTCTAAAATATAGATCTTCAAATCTCACGAAAACTCGAACTTAGTTACTGTGTAATATGTGTAGAGGTGTATAAGTATAGCATTGTGATTTTATCTCATTGCAAACCACTCAGCGATCGAGTCCAGGAGGAAACAACGAGTGGTGACTTTTAATTTAGTGGAGAAATAAATTGTAGAATTTAAAAATGAATCTTTCTAACGGAAATCTTAGAATAGCTGTCATCATTTTCTTTCGCACATAGAACCACTTTGAAGGAGGGGCGCTCTGAAGTGGGACCTATTAAGGTGAGTTGACCATTCATAAATTCATGCTGATCATGATATCGCTCTTTACTCTCTTAAAAGATAAGTTATGGTGAAAAGGACAGTAATAAGTACCTAATTTTTTTTGTCCCAAGTGCGATGTACGCGATGGCAACTACTTTCGATAAATCAACCTATAGTAAGGCAATTCTGCGTCAATTCTGCGTCACCTGCGTCGCCTTGTGCGTCACTTATAGAGTGGTGAAGTGTGACGTCATCAAAAATCTATTTTTAGAATTTCTCAATTTGTTCTTCATTTTCCAAAAGAGCATCAAAAATAATGTCTGAATGTCGAAAACCAATTGAATATGTTAAGTATTGGCTGAGATATGACCATCTGAATAAATAGATGTCCTAAGGGAACTCAGTGTTATAGTGCTCTGGTTCATAACATTAGGAACCATAGCACTATATAAACACTGAGTTCCCATAGGACATCTATTTATTCAGATGGTCATACCTCAGCCAATACTTAACATATTCAATTGATGGACATTATTTTTGATGCTCTTTTGGAAAATGAAGAAAAAAAATTGAGAAATTCTAAAAATAGATTTGTATGATGTCACAGCTTCGGTACTCTATTGAAAGGTGTGAACTTGACAATGGCGTATTATGTAATCCGAACATTATTTTCACGGGACATAACATACATTTATTCTTTCTTCTTTGTTTTGCAGATCTCTAGCATTCAGAAAAAAGTCGACATGGCGATCAAGTTGTTCATACTCCCAAAGATAAATCGTAAGACCTACTTACCAGTATTTTCAGGATCTAACAACCCAGTATGATTTGTTTCAGAGTGGTTTCTCCCGTCATTTTGTAACATTTTGAAAGAATTTCAGCGTAGCGTTTGCGAAGGATGGAAATAAGCTAAAGTATCAGCTTTCATGTGTTATACTGTCAAATATATCAATCAATCAATCAACTGATTAATTTATCTATAAAATATCCTTCATCCTAGCACAAATAGCAATATGTGATATTAATAAGTAATATAAGTAACATACCGGAATTAATGAATAGTAGGCCTAGTGATTACTATATGGTTCTTCTTTGTACTTATTAATTCTAAAGGTGTATTTGTATTACCACTGTTTACTTACTGGTAATAACACGAACGTATAAAGCCCTAAACAAAAATCAACCTAAGAAATTGCAATATCCCTGTTGGCACCCTTTGAAATATTATTATGTGAACATGACACTTGTGATGACGTGACCATGATCAACCAAATAATGGAGGGAACTTTTTAGTACATCATTTTTTGTAGAGAATGAGCGTAATGATTTTAATCATGCCGTTGTTTTTGGTTAACAGGAATGGGCGTGGCTGGAGTTCCTCTGCCCAAAATGGATGGGTTTGAGATGGCAAATACATCCATCACACCGGGATTGGTAAGACTAAATGTGTTTTTTTATTTAATTTAATATTTGTATATATCTTTTTTAGGTTCAAGTCTTTAAAAAAAATTGGTATTAGGTCATAATGTTTTTTGTTGTTGTGTTGTCTCTTATTAATGGTTGATATATTCAACTAAATTGATGTGCAACTTTAGATTTAATTCTCTTCTTATTAATGAATGAAGCAACTTCCGATATCTAGGCATTATTAATAAATGCCCCAAATAGCTGACATCCCACCCGCATTCTAATTTATCGAGAGGACTTAGGTATTTTTAAATTATGATAATGTAGGAAAAAAGGTCTGAATGCCTTTAGGGAAACGATTTTTTTGGTTATATTTTGGTTGTGGGGGGGGGGGGGGGGTCCGTATGCCCTATGCCCCCCCCCCCGCCCACCTCCCTGCTAGGATCTGAAACCTGCTGTCAATGCTTACATTACATTGCAAGGACTGTTGTTTATCTTGGAGCTAGGAGTTAGGTTTCTATAATATTCACGTAAACTGAAATTAAACTCATCACATTACTACAACACGGAGCTGAATACTAAATAGAATGAACATAAAATTAAAGACCAATCCTTTTATTTTCTTGTTTGGGTCTTACAGGGATTCCTGAAGATTGGAACTGATCTCGTTCACACGCACCAATCGGCCAATGCCGCCTAACGACTTTGTTGGTCTGTCTCGCTGGCCATATGTATACATGTAGGCCTTTAAATTCACGTTACGTGGCTTCTATCGTGGACTTACTACACGATTCTATAAATTAAGCTAGGATACGTTGTTGTTGTTGGTAGTGGTGGTGGTTTAATGGCGATTGTCTGTCAATGATTTTCGCCAGAGAATAACTTAAGGGTGTGGTCCATGCATGTAAATATAAAAGATATCCTATAACATTTTCAATTTCACGAAGGGTTTCTCGAGCTGTAAAAGTCACGACTTATGTATCATCACTTTCACATTATGGCATAAGTAGGCCTAATACCGGAAAATGCATATTTACAATAAGAATTCGATTTTCACTTATATGTACCAATTTTCCTGCTAGAAATACATGTATTGGGTCAGTTTTTTGTATACTTAATAAACTTTATAATCATTCGTATGTTTAATAAACTATATAATCATTCGTATGCTTAATAAACTTTATAATCATTCATATGCTTAATAAACTATATAATCATTCGTATGCTTAATAAACCATATAATCATTCGTATGCTTAATAAAAAAAAAAATTCGTATGCTCAAGATATAGTGTAAAATCCGAATAAATTCAATGCTGTTCTTGAAGCTGCGATTGCAATGTAAATATTTCGCCATAATACAGTGACAGCACATTGTGGAAAGAACGTCGTATATTACCATCTAATGGAAATGAAATTGCGAAAGAGTTCAAAGAATGAATGTGACTACACTTGCACAACATATTTTCATTGATAATGAGCAATGATTGCAGAGCCCTCAGGGAGAACAGTATGAATACTGATGAGGCTACCCTGGGTAAACAAGACATATTATTATTATTATTATTATTATTATTATTATTATTATTATTATTATTATTATTATTATTATTATTATTATTATTAATAACAGTGTTGTTTACGTACTTCATATAGTTCGCTTCTGCATGACAATTATTTTGTCGATAAAAAAAAAACTTCCTGCATTGAAAAGCTTAAGAGTTTAGCCACTTTTATTTTTATTTTTGATGAGTATGAATACAAAATATATATGGAGGAAAGTATCCAATTGTTAACGTTGATTCGACTAAAAAAATAGCCCTATTTAATTTAAGGCGATTTTTTTGCTCTATAATTATGTTGATAAAAATGTGTTTTATTATTTTAAAGCTGGTGTATATATTCATTTGATTCATTTTGATTTCCAATCATAAAATAAAACAATACAACAGTTTTCAATAATTTATTGAAAACTATCAATCTGAATCTCGTGGAAAAAGTTAAGATTGAAATTTTAGATTACTGTATGTCCATATTTTGTTAAGATAATCACATTTGAATAAAATGCTCCTTATGGCTGTGCCAAAAGCAAACATCACTATAATTGTTATTTTTATTTTTATTTTAGAGACTGAATTGATAGAGGGGAAAGTAAAACACAAATGAAACAATAAGGAACAAGGTGATGGGGGGGGGGGGGGCATATAATGGGAGAGAGGTAGACAGCAATAGCAAGAAAAAGTTGGGAAGGCAGAGATAGAGAGAGCTAGAGAGAGAGAGAGGTTGGTTTATAACAAAACATTGCAGCAGAGCTTCTTTCAAAGAAAAAAATAACAAATATGTCCATTATATGGGCATACAGACACTAAACAAAACACACTGTATAATACAATAGTTTGCTCGTTTTTTTTTACCATCAAATTTAATTTCTTATATCTTTACCTGCTTAACAACAAGTAATATTTATGGTATTTCACAAAATATAGAATATAAAATAGTGTAACATTTTACAGCTTTTCAGTTTACGGTTCACCCGAACTAAAAAAAATAAAGTGTAAAATTCCCATTGAAAAGGGACAAGTAGTGAACACATTTTCATAATGGCAGATATGATGTTGTTTTAGATTTAACAACATTCAATTGTGCATATTTACGATAAATCTATTGTCATAAATTGTTCTTCTCCTCTACGCTGCATTATTTTTTGCACAATTTTGTGGAGATTCTTGGCAGGGTGTCCGCACAAATCATTGGCTATCTTTGTGCGGATACACGCTTAAAACTTTCAAGTGTTGCATCCAGCAGGTTGGAAGAGTGAATCCACTATTTGCAAATTATGCAATCACCACTTGGCCCTTTTCAATTTGAATTACAATACAACCCTTTAGTTTTTGGAGTCTTGGATGTACAATTCCAAAGATTATCTTTTGATTTGATATTACCTTTGAAAACGTACAAAAATTCAAAGATTATACCCTGCAACTACATGCTATTGTATCTGAAATGTTTTTTGTCTCTGCATCTGCTGTATCAATACTAACAAACATATTTACTGGTTACTACATGTACTTAGTTTGTTATATTGAACCCCTAAAACGGTAATAATCAAATCAAATGAAAAGCAGACTTTGGTTTAAAGTTCAAATATGAAGGACTGAAAAATTGTGTTAAAATCAACAAGAGTTTTTGAATGACCTCTGGCCATTTCATTTTTCGAAAATAAAAGATAAGAAGTCAGGGTAGTGGACTTGTACATGGCTACGATGTATTAAAGCTTATCTGCCATAGTTTACAGGAGGGATTAGACCGCCCTACAAGGTCACTGGACAGGTGGTTATCTCATCAACTCAGCTCTCAGTTAACATAAGAAAAAGAGGATCATGGGGGACCGATGGTCACCGATTAGGCATTGTTTGTTATATAGAGGGCGCAAGTAGCTACAAGTAGTGCAGTGGGCCTTTAATCAAAAGCTTTTAAAAAGTCAGTTTCGTGCCTGATATGTCAGGTTTCTTTCAGAAGACTCTACGATTGATGATCACAAAAGCAGTGTTATTTATACCTCAACTTTAGAAAGAGGGAAACTGTTGTGCGCTTCATTGCAGTGGCCGAGTATTCTTGGTACAACTTTACAGCACAAAGAAGAAAACCATATTGGTTTTCCTTCCTCTAGAAGAGATTAAAATAATTCATGCTGATAATACAAATCAATTTCTTGCACGTAATTCATCCCATAGTTATTGTCCGCACATGTTTATGACTACCTGTACATGTAGTTTATTATGGTTCACAAGCACACAGTAAACATACGTCTTCAATGTAAATTAAACAATCTTCTACTGTATCTTTTTCATTAACTATTTTCATTAACAATGAATGGCAAAATCCCTGAAATCATGTAATAGATATGACAATTGCTGAGTGCCTGGCAGAAGGGTTCGTACAACATTTAAAGTCATGCTTTTTAAATGTTTAGCCTTTTCTTCCATTTCTCCTATTTATTTCACCATTCACTAGATAATTACAAAATGTAAACATTCTGTCCAAATTTGTGTTCACTCCCCTTTTGCCAGACACACAGCATACTGTCTCGATAAACCCTGTAATGCATCGAAATCAAACCATTAATTATCCTTTGCCCTCATAATATATCACTTGTCCATAGCCAGAAAGGCATTAACACACACCAAAGTCTAGTATAACAAACACTAAATGCCCTTCTGGCTCCCAGCTGTATATCCTATGTACATAGACATGCAGAATAGAGCGATGGATTATACAAAATTTTGAAAATCATCGACCTTCATTTTGTGCTCAACGACTCTACGGAACTTTCTTTGACGTTAGCTTTTCCTTCATCAATGTCTTCCTGAAATGATACCTAGTTGAAAACTAATGTCATTTCATTAAAAGATATACATGTATTATTGATTGCTTAATAGTCAATCCATACTGTCAACGTTATTTCGTAAGTGAAATTTCAGTGCTTCTGTCTACCAGTAGGCTTTGCCTGGAAAGGAAAGTAACAAGTAAGCAGGGCTTAGCATCAACAATTCTGTCAAAGAATACATGGTATTGACCATTAAACTACACTTGTTAAACATATATTTGTTAAGAAAATGATGTCAGAAATTATGAATTTGTTCCTTGGTGCCTGTTACATACCAATTTTTATCTAAACCAACAAACCAAGAAACAAAACCTCAACTGATAAATGTATGTGATAGAATATGCACATGATACATGTACATGTAAATACACATGACCTTACCAACATGCACACATCAGACTTTAAATTCTTGCAATGTTCCTCTCATTCCTCTCCTCCAGAGTTCCAGAGATGCATTTAAACTTCCGTTGAGTATCCTCCTCCTCCTCGGCTTAAGGGGAATTCAGACTAAATTCCTAGTCCAAAAGAAACAGTTCACCTATGAGAGTCCATCACAATCACCCCTAAATCCTCACTGATTGTCACTTCCATCTCTGCCGTTATTGCATAGGAAACTGTTCACATGACTAGACTTCTTTTGGCTAGCTTTTCTTCGCAGTATCGCTTTCAATAACCAGCTTCGGTTCCGTGTACAGTTGGCTAATGGTGGCCTGTAAGAACAAGTGATATATACAGCTATGAGCCAAAACATCAGATACTTCATAATCATCTTACTGTATTACTACCACTCCTACTACTCCTACTACTCCTACTACTACTACTACTACTACTACTCACCACCACTACCACCCACCACCACCACCACCACCACCACCACCACCACCACCACTACTACTACTACTACATGTATTATTACTACTATTACTATTACTATCGTTACTACTACTACTACTATTACTACTAAAGCTACTACTAAGTAGTAGTACTACTAAAGCTACTACTACTACTATCACCAGTTCACCACCATGACTGCTACTACATGTACTACAACTACTACTTCTACTACTCCTACTGTTGATGCTGCTATACTATTTGTCCAACAGGTTGCAAAAATTTGAGGCAGTTCAGAAAACTAAGCAACAATACATTAATAATCATGCTGGCTACGCGACTACAAGCTTGAGAAGGTACGTGCCTACCGGTAGATAAAAAATAATGATGTAAATTTGTTTCATACCTGTCTTCTGATTATGGGCAAATTATCCTGTGCCTTCTTGATGTATCCCTCGATAAGCTCTGGATTTGTTTCTGATTTGTTTTCTCGAAAAGCATCTTGTATTCTCCTCACCGCATACATCCTGATGAGAAAAAAAAATTGAACAAATATTACACAACTGTTGTTACATCTGCCTAGCTGTCAGATCTTTTGTGGTTTTCAAAACTTTCCACTTTGTTTTGTATAATAATTAATATAAAATGAAAGAAAGACATTTATTTCCAAAAAGAAGAAGACCAAAGTAACTGCATTCACACTTTCAATCTTTTCATCATTAAACACTAGCCTAAACAAACAAATTTCTTACTACTACTACTACTACTACTACTACTACTACTACTACTACTACTTCTTTTTCTTCTTCTTCTTCTTCTTCTTCTTCTTCTTCTTCTTCTTCTTCTTCTCCTTCTCCTCCTCCTTCTTCTTCTTCTTCGTCGTCTCTAGACTGCAGCTGCACTGTCTACTTCTGACGTATGTCTTATGCTTCTCTATTTTCTTATCCACATCCTGACATGGCGTAGTATCCTCCATATAATTTGCTTCTTTCCCATCCTCCTTATTCATTCAACATTAAAACATAAGCCACAACAATCACTTCCACCACCAGAATATTTTAATGACCTCAACTAAAGGCTCAAAGCATGAGAAACACAAATCATTGCTTTAGATACGTCGTTTCGAGTAGATGGGACTGAACAAAATCAAAGGCAACATAGCTCGTAATGAATGCATGAATTTCAATCTAACCTGTAATTATATCCAGTAAACTTCTGAGCTTCCCGTAGCATCTCCCTGTACAAACTTAACATCTTCATCCTGTGAACTTGAGCAGCCGCCATTTATTCGAAAAGATGATTCCACTGGAGGTTTCACGGTGTGGAAGCCTCATGCATTACACAAGAAAAATAAATTACGCAATGCGTATACGAATTAGAAAATAATTCGATTGCTTAGTGTGACAACTGTGCACTTATTTTGTGTGATATTATATGCGTCGGACTTTCATTAGTGGCATTTTAGTGCATTTTAATATTTCAGATTGTATTCGATTTTGTATAGAGGCAGAACTGGGGAGAGATAAGGACCTGCATTCGGCAGTGCCATGTCTAGAATTTGGCTTTATAAAAACAGGGCAAATCCCACAAGTAATGATTTGTTAGAGTATTTCCAAAATTAGTCACGGTTGGCTGTATATAGCCTGATTTCCTAACCTGCTGGAAATGTGGCTGCATTTTTTTTGTGGGGGGGGGGGGGGGGTGGAAATTTGTCAGGAATAATTTATTTTTTTCTTAAATAAAAAAATTACTGTCTGAATTGTCCCTCCTTCGAATGCGCCGTATATAGTATCACCTCCTTAATTAATTAGCATATCTTTTTTTTTTGATACTTTATCATTGTGGTGGTTCTGGTCAGAAGTCGTGGTCATATCGATATTGAGGGTTGCATATGGAATAGACTATAACAAAAAATAAATTTAAAAAAGGGCAGCGCGGTCAGGAGAAATTCCCCCCCCCCCTCTCTCTCTCTCTCTCTCACTACTTCGATCTTCTTCTCTAAATCTTTCTTTCTTTTCAGTTCCTTTTTGTTGCATGGTCCTTCTAAATTCCGATGTTATTTCTTTCTTCTTTTTTCATTTATTCCTCATTCCATTCCCACTATTGTGTTTGTGTGTGGGGAGGGGGGGGGGGGGGTAGGTGGAGATGTGGAACCGTCGGGATGCAGTCCGCGTAATAAAGCCCCCCCCCCCCCCCCCCCCCCCCCCCCCCCCCAATTGCAAGCCCGGCCCCTTCAACAGATCATGAATACGTATGATATATGATTATCACAAAATCATGCCAGAAGGAAATAACAACGAACTGTAATGTGATGAAAATATCATTTAGTATCATCAGGGATACGTGAGTTTATTATCCTTGGTATCATTATCAGAGTCTATACCCTATACTTCGATGGCCCGATCGACCATTTTGCATTTTGAGGTTTGCAGCGGAGGAAATCTGACACCAATTGTCACTCTTGTATAGATGCTGTGTAAACAAAAATTTAGCACAATAACCATGGCGGACTTCAATCCGTTCTTCGAAGACGAGGTCGGGGGAATTGAGGACAGCATCGTTGCCGCAGTCGAAGAAGAAAAACCAAGACCGACCTCCAAATCTGAAGATTCCCCTAAAACAGTAGGGCCCAAAGAAGAACTGAGTTACGACTCCATTGCGGTGAAATTATTGAAAGACAACCTCTGGCTCTCGGCGTTGGAATTGCATACGGAGCTCACTGAAAATGGTCGGCAACTGCCCCGCCTCCGGGATTACTTCTCCAACCCGGGGAACTTTGAGAAACAGTCGACAGACGCCCGCGGTGGGTCGCCGCAAGTCGGAAATTTGTGTGAGTCAGTGTTGGGATAAATTCCAGGAAGTATATTGTTGTGATATTGATCACATTTAGGAAACTTAAATCTGATAGAATTAAAGAGTTGTAATGTAAACTAATGATATTAGATTATGATCATGATTATGATGATCAAAATTTGAAGTTCATGACCAGATGACATGAAAATGATGAAGTCTTTTTCATGTTTTTTTTTTAGTAGGTTCTAGATTCTAGGTCTATTTAAAATTATGTTGTTTATCAAGTATTTTTATGAGACTACTGTATGTTAACTGTAAGAATTACAGAAATGTTTAATTTAAGGCAACTTCATGCCCATGAAATCTTTGCAAATTGAGAAGTTTTTGGCTCAATTTGGCTCCACCGGCCACCTTGACTAGACCGAATTTTCCGTCTCTTTCGTTCGTTAGCCTCTTATTGGGGTAGGGTCGGCCGGCTCTCTCTTTAGAGACGGAAACCGTCTATACACATTCCCTTGATAACGCCACGGCCATTTCAGGTCGTAGCGTTTTGCCCCCAAAATCCCCCAAAATGTCATTTTACCTCGTGTAGAGTCTATATCCAAATGTAAATTAGGCCTAGGCTATAATACATCGTTTCCACTTACTAACTTGATTATGAAGGAAAAACTGTGCGCCATCTACACATTCGTAATGGCGTTATCACAGTTTTTCCTTCATAATCATTTTGCCTTCGGCGTAGACTAGAAGGGATGAGATTGATTTAGATGACTCCGGCAGCGAAAGTTTAACACGGCTTGCAAGATTTTCAACATGGATGTCAATTTTGACCCATAATTTCCTTAAAAGGGACCATTAAACGGATTATTTCAATCAAGTTAGTAAGTGGAACCGATGTATTATAGCCTAAGTCTAATTTAAAGTTGGATATACACGAGGTAAAATGACATTTTGGGGGATTTTGGGGGCAAAACGCCACAACCTGAAATGGCCTTGGCATTATCAAGGGAATGTGTATAGACGGTTTCCGTCTCTAAAGAGAGAGCCGGCTGACCCTACCCCAATAAGAGGCTAACGAACGAAAGAGACGGAAAATTCGGTCTAACCTTGACGTGCTTGGAGTAGAGATACCTACTAAAACATACCGGAAATCGACTAAATCGTCATCAATTGTTCAAATAATGGTCATGATTTAAAAGTCGTTATGTTTCTTACATGTACCTGTTTCATGTTAATTTTCTTATCTTTTTTTGACTATTTTTCCTAAAAACAAAGACTTATTATATACACTTTCTCACGGGATTCACGGCAAACTGCTGCACAATACAATTGCATACCATACGTACAGACGGTGGGGTGCGGGCGCGCATGTGTTGAGTTAGCGACCGTATTCTTAACAGTTAACACACATGCACGCCTGCATCCCACCGTCGATATGGTATGCAATTGTATACAATTGTAACGACTTTTTAATCATGACCATTTATTTTAACAATTAATGAAGATTTAGTCAATTTTTGGTATGTTTTAGTAGGGTATCTCCACGCCGGAGTTCCGGGTCAAAGTCTGGATAGACTTCTGTACTAGCGGCTAGCGCCCTCATTTTTATTGAATTTATTGGGATGTTCTGTCAATTTGTGCACTAGTAGAATATATAACTTCATTATGTACTAGCTGTAGATGAGAAGATAAGGCAAAGTTTACAATTTATAGAGGTTGGGAAGAAGAGCAGGTACAGAGGAATTCCAAGGGGGTATCATTGGCTCTGTAGTGCAAGGAGCCAAGGACTGGACCTGAAGAAAGATCTTTTAAAAGAACTTCAAAAGATTTGATGTCTACTTATGTCTATCTAGGATGGCTGCGGACATCTCCGCCATGTATCCCCCCTCCCCCCACGTCAGTTGTTTCCTTCAATTTTTAAGTTCTGTTCCTCTTGTTATGTAATGGTTAGTCAAATTTCAATGTACCAGTATTTTGTTTAAAAATAATTATTTTATGTAATTTTTTTAAAAAATATGAATATGTGAAATAAAATCTGTCATGATCAGTAAATCTATGAAATTCTTTTTATCCACAGACCGAACATCGAGCGAGACGACCTTTGATTCCCTGGACCTAGCCCGCTATTCAGATGATGGCAACAACCAGGTAGATGAGAGATTGACAGTGCTGGAGTTTGAGCTGCGGAAGGCCAGGGAAACCATCAAATCACTCAGGGCTAACCTCACTGAAGCTGCAGGTTAGTTGGTGCCGTTGTACCAATAGCCCAAATTCACAAAGGAGGTTTAAATTTAACCCATGGTTTAAAGATCTTCATTTACATAACCCATGGTCTAAAATTAGCGCAAAATAAGTGCAACACAGTTAGAGGTCTAATATTTGATGCGCTCAAGGCAAGGTATGCTTAATTTGCGCTAATTTTAAACAATGGGTTATGTTAAAGATAAACTTGAGTTCTGGTAAAAAAAGAAAATGAATTCTCACAGAATCTAACGAAACTTACACTGAATGTTCAAGATTACAAATAAATGTCATGTGCCAAACAATTTTGGAAGAAAATGTATACTGGCTGAGTAATGAGCATAGAAAGATAAGGAAATCAGGGTAGTACTAGCCCCGACACCATGTGTGTTGTCCCATATACATCTATCTGTGTAAGTGATTGTTACTTTACCAAGACTCTGCCAAATTTATGATGATTTTGATGACTCTAGAACCTTGCAGTACACACCATTACTTACGTGCTATATGATCAACTTTTCTGATCCATTCCACACCTTTTTTTTCACAATGCAATCGCATTACCAGTACTCAAGTTTATCTTTAATAAGGGTTTAAGCCAGGGGTTAAATTTAAACCTCCTTTTTGAATTCAGGCTATAGGGTCTACTTGTTTTTTGGACCTCGCTCTACAGCAGCGTGTATTATGTACATGTACCATGACTGTTAAACCAGTGGGAAAAAAAATTCCTGAAAGGAACAATAAATGGCAATTCAATTAAATCACAAGGGATGGTTGGAGTAGACTATTTAAAGCTGCCATTTGGCTATTTCTGCAGTGTTTTCCATACAACATATGAGTTTTTTCCACATATTCCATCCAAAAATGAAGAATCTCTTGAAATGACAACTGAATAATGGTGCTTTCTGCTATTATTACTATTAGCAATAATCATATAATGATATTTTCATTCAGGAATGTATAGATAATCACCCTTTTGCAGTATGAAAGAAACCTTTGAACACATGTAAATTTAATACACATGTTGTACACACTTTCTACAGTATATCGTCAGATATTAGTAGTATCACAATTTTTAACGACAGTTGTCTTTATGGAAAACGTCTTTAAGCATAAAAAATGATTCTACGCTTATGTTTTGCATCATGTTTATACTCTTCCTAATTTGGTATTAGTTTGTTGTTGTTATCGGGTGAGTTTCAATGCGACGTCATTCAAATTAGAAATGTAAATGTATACATGTACCTTCACTATACTAAAGTGTAGTGTTTTGGTCTGAATAGAATAATCTTTAACATTGCTAGCTATTTGCCTACTACATGTACATTGTTTGTTCCATACATTGGCAATTATGGCTCTCTAACCTCTATATCAGGTTATTTCTAATGTGTTTGCATTTTATTTTTTACCAATCTGCATATTGAACGGATCCATTTTATCTACGTACATGTATGCTATCTCCCTCTGCATCTATTTCCCTTTACTCCCACCCCCCCCCCAAAAAAAAGAGACCAGGAGTAAAAAATCGTACATTCTATTGATAAATTGATTAATTTCAGTGTATACACTGTACATGTATGCCATCATATTTGAGATGGTTGCATGAAGGTGTTACAAAGGTCCAGTTTCATAAAACGTGTTGCCTTGTTACCAACTTAACAATACCAACAAATAGCAGTAACCGTTAAAGCTACTGAATTGATTTCATTTGATTGGCTGAGAGCAAAATTCTCATAAATTTCTAGCATATGTTATTGTGTCCAGATCTGATAACTCCTTGGATCCATTTGACATGCATTTTGATAGGAGTCATAAACCCCATATACTTTTATCTCAGCCACGTGTGAAAGTTCATTATAATCACAGTCGTCATTCATCCGATTGAAAGGAACAGAAAATTTTATTGTCATTTTGCTTGTCTCACATCCATGTGTCCTGCATTTTGTAGTGTTTGCATGAATTTGCCCTCTTGACCTCTTGACTTTGCATGATCCCTATTCCACTAAAACAGATAGTTTGTGTCATGTGACCATTCTAAACTCATGGAAAAGGGGGTGTGTATTCAATCGTCTTGGGAAGTAGAGTTGTTTTCGATAATGAGTTCCTTGATGTACAGTGATTGGTGGAACTTATTTTTTAGCCTTCTTTTGAATTTGATAAGGAGCTTATAAAAGAGCCTGGTAGAAAATAGTGAACAAAAGTGTTTGCTTTGTTATTAGTTCTTGTTTTGATTTTTGGGGATAAATCATCCACATTTTCTTGCTTCTGTTTTAAACATCAATTTCATGAGATATGTTTACTCTCCCCCCCCCCCCTTTCTCTCTCTCTCTCTCTCTCTCTCTCTCTCTTTCATAATTGATAAATAAATAGATAAATAAGATATACATGTAAATATAATGCAGGATTCTGGAATGATTACATGTACATCAATGTCAGCACCTTGATTGATGAATCTACAGTGAACAATATTAAACATTCCTGGCTTGGGCCAAGCCAAAACACGTTTCCACTCTTGATAATCTTTTATCTTCTTTTTCCGTTTTGTTTCAGAGAGTGACATTCCCTCACCTGTGCATTCCAACACAGATATGGAAGGGGCTGTAGCAGAGGTAATATACTTTTTTTCCCCATTTTATTTCTTATACTTTCACTTTCTCCAGAGCAATGAATATTGCACATTGTACACTTTAGATATTGTATAGAAAATCTTACATACATGTGTCAAACATGTATATGTACATGGATGCATTATGTAGTTTATGTTGGTACGCTGCAATACATTAATGTGATACAATCTAGTTCAATAGATGATCTGTCATTTGCTCAGAATTATAATTGCTCTGAGCTGTACTTCGTGAAACGTATAGGGTTAGGGTTGCAATTAGGTTTTATGTTAGCTGTAGGGTTAGTGTTAGGGTCATGTTAGTGTCGGGTCCAGGGTTGAAGTTGAGAATTTGGTTAATGTAGGAAATTGATGTGGAGCAGTAGTGGCAGGAGTAGATGTACAACTGGTACAGATGGAACACCATACACAATGCATTAAATCGATAACAATATTCATAGATGCTACTTGTATTTCCACCAAAATATATTGTATATCGACTGAAAAGCATTGCTTACAAAATGGCTCTTGATGAATTGAAAATGTGTAGATGTTTACCAGTACACTATTTAGAAAAGAAGAGGCAGGAAAAGAACAAAAGGAATTAAAAAATGAAACAGGAACTATATGAGGGTACACGATTCTAAATTAGAATGGATAGTACCTATATTGTTCTTAATGAACAAAATAGTTCATCTCATCAATTGATGGCAGTCGTAGTTCTGAGAGAGAGAGAGAGAGAGAGAGAAATAACGGAGTGATAGAGAAAGAGAAAGAGAGAGAGAGAGAAACGGGGAGACTTCACTACATGGAACACAGGTAACAATGGTAGAAAAATGCAAACAAATTTGCCACAAATAACAATGATCGTTTTTCTCTGTAACATTAATGTACCAAATGTACCACAAAATACAACGTCACACTTTATATGTACATGTATGTACTGGTAGGTACTTGTAGCTGTCATTGATTATGATGGAGCAGTTTTTCTCTGCATCAATTTCTAGATTCTAACAGTCCGGAGAACATGTTGCTAGAAAAGGTCCTATATTTGTATGCGTGATGAATAGACAGGATATGAAAATGTACATTAATGATGTATTTCCATGTTGATGTTCAATATTCTGGGCCTTTTCTGGCCCTTTGCCAACTTGCTCCATTTGAGGAAAACACCCACTAGTGGAGATATTTTTGGATTTAGAATATTAGTTAGTCGCAGCCTAATTGTCAGAGGCATTTTGCAAAGTAATTACGGCAATAAATTAAATTTATGAGTTTGCATTTCTGAATCATTATAGTTCCATGAAGATGAAGAGTGAAAGAAAAAAAATTGTTTGTTCTTTGTATAAATTGTTTTGTTGAAATGATATAAGATGCAATTGTATATTTATACTAAATAGTTATCATATTTATGGGCAAATATCCGGTAAATGTAAACGTTTTTGTTTCACTGTTTGTTTTATTTTCAGGAGGCCACAAAGCCTCTTGAGAGAAGAGCAGTCAACTTCCTGGTTAATGAGTACCTCATGAACAATAGCTACAAGCTCACCTCCATCACATTCGCAGATGAAAATGAAGATCAGGTAAGGAGGATGATGATGATGATGATGATGATGATGATGATGATGATGATGATGATGATGATGATGATGATGGTGATAATGATGAGGATGATGATGATGATGGTGATGATGGTGATGGTGATGATGATGGTGATGATGGATGATGATGATGGTGATGATGATGATGATGATGATGTTGGCGATGATGATGAAGACGACAAAGGCTCTGATCATGATGATGTTGATGATGATGATTATAAAGGTGATGTTCGTGGAAATTTAATGATTATAAAAATGAAGATGATGATAGTGATGATTATGATGATAATGGGAAGTTATGCTATGCATGATACTGATTTATAAGGAAGATGATAGTAATGATGATGGTATGAAGATGAGGATTAGAGTGCTCATGATAATGGTGATTAGGAGTAAGGATGATGGGGATGATGAAGAGAGGGATGGTTAGGATCAATCATGATTAATGATGTTATTTACAATGATAATGATAGTAATAATGCTGACTTATTTTATTTTAAAAAAGTGATCAAGATGATGATAACTTCTGATACAAATGGAAGTCCATCGTAAAAAGTAATAATTAGGTGCTCAACTCAAGGGACAAAAGAACTGATATTCCCAAATGGTATTTTGCATTTCGACCATCTGTCTCCTTTCTGTACATGTTGTATGTAGCAGTCACTGGTAGCAGACACAGGTGTACATGCAGGACCATCTTTTGTTACGGGAGGGTGGGGGAAGGAGATCTAGTATTATCATCACCCCCTTCTGTATCAATAGATACATGTATTGTTTGATTTATACTCTAGTCATAAGAGGCATAACTCGTCATGCCACATCCATATTTGCAATCATAGCATCCAAATTGCTACTCAAGGCTCTCACTTATCTCCAAGCTCCACATGTCGCCGGCCGGGTGGCAGAAGGGCGTTAGCGAATGAGCCACTCGAAAACTACTTTTCAAATTATTCGCAGTTAAAGATTTGTTTTATATTTAAACTGCTTTCTGTCCCGAAAATAGGTTTAAAACATAAAAGACTAACAAAAATGTTGTAGTAGAACACAGCCACAATTTTTTTCTCGGAAATAAGTCAGTTTTATAAAAGTTTGAGGCGATTAAGTGCTAACGCCCTTCTGCTTAAAATTTCATTATTGACCATAAATTTGAGCTAACGCCCTTCTGCCAGCCAGACGACGATGTATCAGGTTTCAAATTCTCTGGCCTTGTCAGATGGCATTAATGCCGTGGCTTGGACATGAATCAGATCAAGTCTATTATATACCCCTGTCACATCAACGAGACTGGCCGACAGACCAACGACAGACCAAACAAACAATTGTCCCTACTGTAAAAAAGTACTGTTCAACACTAGACAGCGACCTTCCTCCCACACTGCTTCCACATAGAGAATGTACATCAGTGTCAACTGATTCCATATTTTACTAAACTATTATTCAGGTTTCATAAACTCCCCCGATGACTTGATTAGATCTTTGTAGGCACCATCATAATCTGTTACTTAGAGTTAATTGGTTCCAAAACTATGATTTCTATCGGACTCACCATTTCTCGACCCATTGTATTTGTATGGGAACCGGATGTGCCTTTGCCAAATTATACCCATAGCCGGAGCTGCCCTTTATGGCCAATTACCGTAGCTGCTGTAGCGAGAATTACAATGCCTTGCATGGCAAAGAATCGGTCAGTTTCAGTTTCGCCATTGAGTTTGTATAGAGTCAATTGAATGTTGTGACTGAGGTTTTAGCCCTATCGAGAGCAGGGATTTTCAAGGGTCACGTTAATCAGCTTAAATTGCTTTGCAGGAATACTACCAAAACTTTATGTACAAAGGCTACCAAATGGTAATATGACTGGGAAATAGTGAGTAAATAAACATTTGCCATCAAATACTCTGTACAGTACATGTACTGAGAACAATTAAGTGTTACTAGTAAATAAACAGTTTCAGAAGAATGAAAACAAAATGTACTTCTTCATGACTGATGCATTTTAAGTGATTACTTGAATGTGCTTTACAATGTTATATTATGATAATGTTATATTATGATGATGTTATGGATCCATGTACATGTACACACTGGCCATGCAGAAATGCAGGAAGTTCCCCCTTCTTGTTTCTTCCAAACTGCACACTGAAATATACCTACAGTCTGACATTCGAGTAGGTACATGTATTGTTCACATTGATGCATTAAATCTTATATTCATGCAGGACTTTGATGACTGGGATGATGTTGGTCTGAACACGCCCCATCCGCCAGACCTCCTCCACCTCTACCGAGACTTCAGCCGTCACGTGATCGTGAAGCCCGAGACGAAGGACGTGGGATGCGGGGAGGATACCATCGATGAGGAGGATGAGGAGGAGGAGCAGCCGGAAGCGGTGGAGGCGGACCTCAATATGAGCATCGAGCAACAGAGACAGCATTATGTGAGTAGTGTGGAACATGTTAGAGAGAAAAAGTTATTTAGGGAAGTCGATAAAACCTTTAATAAAAAGATGTTGTATTGCCCTTTGCGACCGACTCAAAAATCTTGAAATCTACGATCGGCTTTTTTAAAATGTTTTTATATTTTACCGTTTTTTAGAGAAAAAAAATATTAAAGAATTCAAAACCGAGATATAGAAAGAGAGAGGAGAAAAAAAATTTAACATCTTATATTTTTAGGCCTAATGATGGATGATTGTTGCATTTGAAGGGAAAATGCACTCGTCGCTTACTGGAACAGCGTTGTCCCTGTATTAAGCCAATGGGAATTTTGAGATGTACGTATGTACGTCAAAGGTCAAAGATCAAAGACCACAGCTCGTTAAATATGCAAATAATTGGTAAATATATGTCATTTGTACCCGGCAAGGGGATACTACTTTGGTTGACTTGTTCTTATTCTTCTTCTTGAACATGTATTATTCTTGAGTGCACTTTTATTCATAAACATGCATTTAATATTATCAATATGTCTACCGGTAATATACCTGTTTCCTAACATAATGTATTTCAATATATGTATGTTGTCTCCGGAATCATCTATTTACTAACTATCTACAATGTACTTCACCTACATGTACTTTGTATAGTAACCTCTCTTTAGATGGAATCCACTTTGCATACATTATTTGTTGCCGTCTAGAAATCCTCTGACAAGCTTTTGAGTTGTCAAGAAAAATGTTTCTTCAAGAAGCATGCGTTAAATTAGTAAACAGGTCTAGTAAGGTATTCCAGTACAATTCTTTATCTACATGTACTGATTGTACAGTGAATTCTGTCTATAAAGACCACTCAAGGGAGACAAGAAAATGGTCTCTATAAATAGGTGGTCTTTATGTACAGGTCGCTTTATTTCATGTTTCAATGAGAAACTATTTCAAAGGAGACAACAAAATATGGTCTTTATAGACAGGTACCCTTTATAGACAGGTGGTCTTTATAGCCAGTGGTGTTTATAGACAGGTGGTCTTTTTATACAGGTGGTCAATTTAGCAAGATGGACTGCGTGTAGCAGTGAAGAGGCCATGCTTTAATGTGTTTTCTTTCCACTTTTAGGAAGCTGAAATGGAAAATCTAGAGAGGCAAGTGTTTCAACTCAGAGGAGAGAAAGCTGAACTTGGTATGGTTGTGGAGAAAATGGAAAGGTAATTCATTATTAATTAATTGTTTACAATCTGGGACTGGAAGATTATTGTATTCCTTTAAACCCATTGTCTTCCTTTTTTTCTGGCCTTTTTTTAAAGGTTGATTTTATACATTCTACATATACATAAATTATTTTCTTCAGATGATTGGTACACTATATCTGTTGGTCCTTGGTTGCTTATCTACAAGCATGTACTTCCTTTCTCATAATCATCCTGCTTATTTTGTGAATTGAGAGATACAGAAAAGCAAATATATTGTGTTCTTGTGATATATTTATGTAAATACATTTCCAAACAATTATTTTTTTGCAGAGAAATCCAGTCCCTAAGAGCCCCCAAACAGTCGACGCCCATGGTCAGCCCCATCACATCGCCCATGAAGGACCCCGCCCTGCATCCCGACCACAGAGGAGAGAGGCGGGAGCCCATCGGCCAGGAGATGACCCAAGACACGCCCCCTTCATCCACGTCGTCCAATCAGGTGGAAGCGCTGAGGGACATACAGCCTGAGGAGGATGGGAGGGAGGAGGAAGGGGACGAGGTGGATGGGGTGGATGATATCGATGGGGTCGTCAACGGGGATGTGAGGGGTGGGGAAGGACAGGAGGAGTTCAGAGAGGTCGAAGGTCAGACGGAGGAGAAGATGGTGGATGGTTACCTGACAAGGAGGAAGTAAGAATTTTTTAATTCTCTACATGTATTTTCTATTCTACAGGGACCCCTCTGTAAAACAGCATTGTTACGCTTAGAACGCTGAGTAGGGCCATCCCTCCGTCTTCCTTTTATAAGTGTGTCTTTATGATTGTAAATGTATATTTGTTGATGTTTTTTTAATTAACGGAAAATAAATACAATACAATTTATATCTGTTATAGCAAAGAGCATACCACTTGCAAGAATTAAAATTTTGATCTCTTTATTGAACCTATAGTATACACACACACCGAAAGTGCAAAAGACAAAGGGCTAGGAAAATGGAAATCCATTGGGGTGCTTTCCTGATAAAAGGCGAGGACTGCATTACCACCTTTAAACATATTCTTTATCTCATTGTAGTTGTATTCAAGCTACTTTTCCAAGTTTTATTTTTGTAATGTTTGTAGTGTATAATCATGTGAGGTCAGAGATCATAAGCCCCCCCCCCCCTCCCCTCCCCACCTATTCTACATGCAGCTCTCAACTCTAATTTTATGGATCTCCAAGACATTTATGTTTATTCACAAAAGAGATTTCAATGCCGTTTGACTTCATATATGTCATATTCCTCATTGTAGAAACGTTTCTGAGGCATTCCAGAGGGCCTTACTTGGGACCATTGTGCATCCTGTCGAGACCACAGAGACTAGACTCCTAGAAGAGGTTTCTCACATAGCATCATCGGGTCAAGAGGTCGTAGAGATGCTCGCAAGGTGTCTACCACATATCATCCCTAATGTACTACTCGCGAAGAGAGAGGTAAAATGATTGACAAGAGAATATGTTTATCATGCTAAAGCCGGTAATAGTTGTGGAGTGCCAGGAGTGTCAAGTTTGACTGACATGAGCGCTATACAAGAACCCACTATTATTATTATTATTAATGTTTAAGACAACTGGAATCATTGATTGCATATGATATGTAAGATATGTTTACGCTTCTTTTTTTGCCAATGAATTTTGATATATTTGAAGAAGTAAACAGTAATAAGATACAAACTATATATTGGTAATAATGTCAAAAGCTCTTCAAGTTCAAGTACAACTTCAACTTCAATTTTATTGATCTTACATAATTACATGGCATAACAATTATATTCCAGCTGTTTCCCTATTTATATAACATCAATTAACATACATGTACTATCAATTTATACTTAAGAAGCATGTGAAGATGTATGTGACATATGCAAACAGAAACCAAATATAAAAATGATTATTGCCCTATATTTATTGTGGCTGAACTCCAACACAGCCTTTACATGCTTGTTAGCTTCAGCTACTTACGGCTTTTACTCCTATCCAAAGGACTATATAAATGTAACAGATTTTCATGTCGTCGCAAAAAAGAGATAAACCATTGTGAGGAGGTCTTTGCTCCACCCATTAAAACCATGCTGCGTTATCATTAAAAGGCAATTTATTTCTCTCTTGTGTACCCCCTTTATACATTGTATATGTAAATTCACCTTACTGTTTTTATTTATTTGCCATAGGAACTTGTCCCTTTAATCCTCTGCACTGCCAGCTCACATCCAGAGGCCAGAGAAAGAGACCAGCTTTTAAATCTTCTCTTCAATCTCATCAAAAAGCCAGATGAAGACCAAAGGTATGATACATGATAAATCGAACTGGTTCTATGCTACTCCAATGTTGCATGAATTACACTGGCTCCCAGTTGCTGATAGAATACAATACAGGATACTTGTTCAAACTTTCAAATCTATGTCGACCACCCTTCCTGTATATATTTCCTCACTCTTTCAGCAACAGAGAACATCATATTCTCTTAGGTCTTCATCAGCTCCTTCCCTTGTCATTCCCAAACCCGTAAACAGGGGTGTTTCAAATCCTTTCAGCCCTTAGCCCCACGTCTCTGGAACAAACTCCCCTCTTTCTTAAGAAACAGTACTTCACTAGATTTCTTCAAAAAACATCTGAAAACTTACCTGTACAACTCCTCTTAAATTTTTGAAAGTCTTGTAACCTTTGGAAAAGACGCTTTATAAATCTGAATTATTATTATTATTACATTTATTTCTTGAATCATTGGGCAATGATTTCATTTTAGGAAATCAGAAATTGGAATGTTCGATGACAGCACTTTTAGATAAAAGCATGGGCAAGTTTTTTCGTGAGATTCACAGCATATTTGCTGGTATAAACTACAAGAAAGTATGCATTCACTTTTGCATTGCCCTTGTCATTTGGCCCGAGTCGTAAATTTTTTCTGTGCGATTGTTGAAAACGGGTTGAGGCTCCGATTTCCAAATAAATTTCTTCATGTGGGGACATAGTATAAATTTTGCATTGACTTTGTACATTCCTAGAAACTTGGCTTGTACAGATCAAAAAGATTGCAGAAACTAACTTTGTTCACTAGTTGATGTGTAGAATACTAGTACATGCTTAATGTTTTATGCTTGATTATTGTTTTACCTGACTGTTATTTAAAGAAAGCATGCATATGCTTGTAAGTATAAAGCAACCAGGGGACTGATGGCTTTAAGTACTCTCCGAGGGACTTGGTAATGAGGATTAAATCCTTATTAAACGGCACAAGCAAATTGACTTGTTTGCGAACCCGGGACCTGCTGGTTACGCAACCACTGCTCAACCACTGAGCCCTCATGTCTCCTCTTAATATGAATATCAGTAAAGCTTGTTATTCATAAAGATTAATAAATTGCTTGAAAGTAACATATCAATCTCAATTTTTGACAGGCAAATTATTCTGAGTGGCTGCGTGGCATTTGCCAAACACGTAGGACCCACCAAGGCCGAGTCAGAGCTGCTTCCACAGTGCTGGGAGCAGATAACACACAAGTACCCGGAGAGGAGACTGCTTGTGGCCGAGTCGTGTGGAGCGTTGTCCCCGTACTTGCCAGTAGGTGACCTTCTAAAATCATGGTTAACCTCTTAGGAAATTGCAATTTTATAATGCCCAATATTTGTCTGTGAGGGAATGTTCCAAATTATGTATTGTTAAACCATTGGAAACCACTGGAGTTTCATGTTCATTTGCATTGAATGTATTGTTTGTTGGGTTTAAATATGTTAGTATTATGTTTTTGAAATTACTATTTTCAATGAAACTGCTTTATATTATGTACGTCCATGAAAGTTGCATGTATGCAGAATGGCTGCCACTCATAGGAATTGTTTATCTTTTCATGCTCTTGGATTTTTTATTACACATTTCTTTCTAAAGTGTTTCAAATTCTGATTAATTTGATTGGTATATTGCAGCCTGGAATTGTCTTTGATTTACTTTAGTCTCTTCATGACTTTTTTTAGATTTAAAGAAAATTTTAAGTAACTTATCTTAATTGTTAGCATTGAATTTTGTTATAATTCCCTCTCTGACTTTTTTCTTTCTGTCTCTGCTTCTCTCTCTCTCTCAACACCTATCTCTGCCTCTGTCATCCATTCTCTTGCGTATCATCTCTCTCTCTCTCTCTCTCTCTCTCTCCCCTCTCTCTTTTCCTTCTCCTTCACAGAAAGAAATCTGTAGTTCCCTAGTACTCTCCATGCTGCAACAGATGCTAGAGGACCGAGCGGAGGAGATACGAGGGTCGGCCGTTAAGAGCCTAGGTCTCGTCTTCTCTCTCATAGACGATACAGACAAATACAACCAAGTAAGGGATGTAGAGATGACATGAGAGACATAATATATTGTTGTTCTATAGGGCTTTTCAGGACCGTAAGCCCTCTCAATGCAATTTGTAATTAAACATTTACAATCAATGAACACACTTATCAAAAACACATGTATCAGATTTTCGGTTTAACTTAATAACATTTGGACTGGACTTTAAAATATTATTACTATTATTATAATTATAAGTTTTTAGTGCTTTCTTTAATAATTTAGATGTCTGTGATTGAGTGTAGCGATACTGGGAGAGCTTTTCAAAGTTTTGAGTCTCCACATGCTAGAGCTCTGTCACCATAAGTCTTTGTTGCCCCAGGATTGCTTGTGAGAATCTGTTGATGGATAAAAATGTTGGTCCTTTCTATATTCCATACTGTATTTTGTATTATTGTTTTTATGTTTTCATGGTTATGGTTAATTAAAAATACCGGTAGAGAATAAGACTTGAGTGAGAGTACATTATGGATTTAGAAATATTGGCTATGATGGAAACTTAAGTTGGTGTGGAGTATGAGGTAATATTCAAAAGTGTGTGCATACACAAATATTCAAGTCTGATGAGGAATCTTTCAACAATTATTTCCTTTGAGCTATCAAAAGATATACTAGAATAATCCAATATTTCTTGGTGTCCAATTGCTGCTACGATCAGACCAAGATATTCTCTTAGAACTTCCTTTATTTCATTTAGGTTCATGGTCTTGAATTGGGCAGCAGAGTAACCGTTCCTGTAATCGTACTTTTTAGGTGCCAGATGTTAGAAAGTAACCAATTAGGAATATGGCTCAGATTCATAGAAGAGTGTCTGTAAATACCAGGTCTGACTTATTGGTGATGATCACACAGTAAAACTTTAGACCTGGTGGGGGGGGGGGGGGGGGGTTGTTTAACAAAGATCCTAAGTTGAAATTATCTCTAAGTTGGACTTAGCAATTATGGAAAGCCGTAAGCCTCTTTGGAAATATTTTGTAAAAGTTATTTTAAAAGGCATAAAATGTTGATTAAAATCATTCATATTTTCTATTATCAAAATGATTTCATGTTCTTCATGTGGAATTCATTAAAAGTCTAAAATACTTGAAATTTTGCTTTTAAATATATTTTATCCTAAACTAATGCTACAAATGGCTCTCCGTAATTGTTTAAGTCCAACTTAGAGTTAAGCCCGACTAAGGATCTTTGTGAAACACCCCCCTGGAAAAATACATTTTAAGCTTTAAAATCACATTTTTCACACAACTTTTCGCCTCTTTTTTCTTTTTTAGGGCTTAGACCTGTTACTCAAGGCCCTGGGTGACAGCTCAGATAGTGTAGTCAATGCAACTCAACAAGTCTTTCTCTCAGCCTTCGCTGGCTGGGCTCAGGATCTGGACAGACTGGAAACCAACCTCATCTCAACTGTACTTAAACGCCTGGAAGTCACTGCCATTGTAAGTTGAGATGGGAAAACCATGCACCATTCTTTTTTTTTTTCTTTCTACACTGTTTCACAGTTCACACAGTATTAAAGTTTGCATACAAAAGTGGTACCTTTAAGGCTACAAATAGCTCTCCATAATGTTTAAGTCCAACTTTGTGAAACACCCCCCTGTTCTTACTTCTATCTGTTTTCATGTTTTTTCTTGATCAGGATCTTCAAAGGCCTAAGCCAGATCTCCTGCAGGGAGAGCGCCTGATAGAGCACTACGCTCACACGTTACAGTGCCTGGTTCCTGCCTTATACGCCAACATCCTGAAGACAGGACCATTCAAGGAGCAGATGCAGAATGGAGTGGAAGAGGACAATGAAGAAGTGGAAATTGAAGGTAGGCTAGATGATTAACATCAATTTGTTTGTAAATACGTATTAAGAACATGCCATCGTAGATTTGACATTACATAAATTGTGATTGAAAGTGATAAAGGTTTATTGATAACAATTCAAATTCACAGCTAAAAGCTGACATATTTTAGTTGAATTTGTACTTGACCAATATATTTTAGTTGAATTTGTACTTGACCAATATATTTTAGTTGAATTCGTACTTGACCAATAAATTTGAGTCAAATTCGTATTTGACCAATAAATTTGAGGTGAAGTCATACCTGACCAATAAATTTGAGTTGAATTTGTACTTGACCAAAAATTTTAGTCAAATTCGTAATTGACCAATAAATTTGAGTTGAATTCATACTTGGCCAATGAATTTGAGTTGAATTGATTTTGATAACAGCTGATGTACTTGTAAACCTTTAGTCATCATTTGCAGAGGAGGGGACCTCAAGCCATTGGTCTTCTGGTTGCTTACTAACAAGCATATATGCTTTCTTAGCAGTCAGGTAAAATAACCACCATTAAAACACTAAAACTAAAGTGATCTCTCTTTTTATTTTGACAGTCACAAGATTCCCTAAGCCTCTGTGTGCCCTTCATAACCTGACTGTCATCATGGGTGACAAGAGGCGACTCTTAAAACTCATGAAGGCATTCGATGCTTTCACCATTCAAGAAGGAGAAACAGAATCGTGGCCCAGTTACAACTGGCTCACAAATGATTAGTAAGTCGGCTTGATTGAATTGAATTCATTGATTCATCAGTTACGAAACAGAAATGATGTTGCCATTGGTTGAACAATAACAAAGATCGTGTCACAGCAGAATTATACATAGCAAAGAAATGTTCAAGGACAAATAAACATTATGTGATCACAAAATGGAAAAAATGACAAAAGGGGTTTTAAGGAAGTTACAAAACCAAAGTGTGTCAGAAAAATAATACATGAAAAGGAAATTCATCTCATGAACTCGTGTTGACCTCGATAATGTGTGAATAAAACGGAAGTTATGTTTGATCTCTGGTATATGCCTTAAATGTATCAGGGAAAATTTGTAATGTAATGCGATTGACACATATCGATTGCCAATGACAACTTTCTTCATTACAAATAAGGTGATGTGAAATTTTCTAGTGTAAATTCCTCTATTCTGTAGAGGACTTGCGATTGATTGAAATCCATCTTGACTCTAGAAGATTTCGTCCAAGAAGTTAAATCATCCTGGCCCTTGTTATTTGTATCTCATTAAAATGTACGATAAGGATCTCTTTTGACAGTTTATTCATTTACGTGATGGAATGAGCCTTAGAACATCTACACATATAATAATTTCCATTATGACCATTCGCATCTTCATTATCATCAATAATTATAAGAATTGTTTTTAACCAATTACCGCACAGAGTTAATGCCTTGTTGGCTCTAAAGATACAATATCATCGTAATTGCTGATTCTGGTTGTATTTTTGGCATCTCCTTCACAGCATTCCAAGGCTATTAGAAGTTGTTGGGCGGTTAGATGCTTCCCATACCAACTGTGTAAGAGCGCTCACCAAACTCTTTGTTCATATCTGCAAGACTTTTGGACCGGCATTCACAGATACCAAGGTAAGATGAAAGACCATACATTTATTATTTCAAGAGAAGTTTGAGTTCTGGGAAGAATAATGTGAAAATAATTTTTGAGTGTTATCATTGTTATTATGCTAGTGTGGAAGACCATCAGATAAAAACATGTTCCCTGAAAAGCATGGCTCTTCAAATGCCGTCATATTCTAAATATGTCACGTAACATCGTAAAAATCGGGACACAGTTTTACACCACATGTTTGTGTAGTTCCATATACATATTTCTGTGTACAGTGTTTGTAACTTTACCAAGACTTGGTAACATTTTGATGATTAAAACCTTGCAGTACACACAAACACACAAATACTTATATGCTAGATGATCAACCTTTTCTGGTCGATTCCACAACGTTTCTTTCACAATGCAATCCCATGACCAGAACTCAACTTCATCTTTAACCCATTGACTACTGGATTCTCTACATCCCATATGCTTATTACAGGGACCATATGGTTCCTTTCAACAATGGGTTATTGGAGCTTTGCGATGAAAGGAATTGAATTTTTTCATTATTTCTCTTCCTCAAAATTATGTTAGTTTCTACCTAATTACAAGCATTTGTGTAAATATACATTTTAATTTTTCATGAGATAAGATGTCAATAAAACAGAAATGGACATGGTTGTTAGCTTGGAGAAGGGCCATAAGGGAAATAAATGGATGATGATGATGATGATGATGATGATGATGATGATGATGATGATGATGATGATGACAATGGTGATGACGGTGATCATGATTATGATGTCTATAATAATGATGATGATGACAATGATGATGAAGAAAATCTATGTCATTAATATATTTTAAGTGTTTATATGGCGTTATGTACCGTAGTCATTTCTAAAACGCTAATGATTTAGGGGCATCATATCATGGTGAGACTCAAGACTATTCGATGTATCTCTTTTCTATTTTTGTGATTTCTAAAAAAAATTATTCTTATATCTCTCTAGGTTACACCAAAATTTCAAGCAGTACTAAATGTCCCCAAAGAACAATACCGTAAGTATAAATAAAAAGCAATCTTTGTTAAACATTTATTGTACGTTTCTAATATTCACTACATCCATATTTTATTTCTTCATATTATTATCTTTTTTTAATTTTGCGGTACTCTGTATTACAATGATGAAGGATTTTCATGTAAAATATGTTTTGAGAGAGAAAGAGATACATGTGAAGGGATTAGAAGTTTAAAGAGGTGATACAAAAATGCAAATGATACTTCCCTTGTGGTATAATGTTTATTTTAATTTTATAAATGACACTCCATTTCCTAATCTACTGCTTTTACATTTGAATGAGATTGTTATTGTGCTTCCGATGCTAAGTGGTCCTGTGTAAAAAAAAATATATAGTTCATATTTTAAAGCCTTTCTGGAGTGTTGGGAGCCAAGAGGGTGTCATTTAAGACTCATTTCTGCAAGGATTTAAAAAAAAATGTGTTTGGAGTCGAAATATTGATGAAAGAATACACAAATTAGATTTCTGCTACAACAAACAAAAACAAATTATGTATTCTTTTATCAATATTTGTCTTCAAATACATTTTTTGGGGGAAATGTTTGCAGAAGTGTGTCTGAAATGATATCCTCTTTTACAATATGATACAATTTAAGTGAAATTTTGCCATCAAAATTTTTGCGATTTAGGGGCTTCCAACACTTTAGAGGGGCTTTAATGTGTTATTTTTTAACTTTCAAAATTAGATACCCTTGTCCGCTCAGGCCAGAGCGCGATAGCCAAGGCCACGCTACCGGTGTTTCTCTGCGGAGTCTTGGGCAGCCATTATCGAGAGGATGATCGTCACCAGATCTCACATTACCTCCAGGAAGCCATCGTGATCCTGGGTCAGTGCCAGGCCCCACAGGATAGCATCCATCTAGCTTTCAATGATCTACAGTGAGTTTATTTCGATAGAAACTTCAGTGTAATATAGAACTGTCTTTCAGTCACCTTTAAATTTCCTTACATATACCAGTATGTAGTTTTGAGTTCATATGATGAAAATAGCATTTCACAGATTCTACAAATCCATCCTATACAGGTCAATGCATATGTACTACTCTGCCATCACATGTTTGTGTACATTTTACCAGTCAATAAAGTCCATTTACTGCTTGATAAACAGTTTTCATAACATACTCTAGTAATAAATGTCAATGGAATATTAATATTTTGATAACTGCCCATTCGAAAAGGAGTTTGTCATTAATGTTGATGATAATGGTATTATTAATCAAAAAGAAATTTGCTGTAAGGCTTCACATCATGACACCAAACTCTTTATTTAATAGATTAATGTGTTTTCATTCTTGCACTAGTGTGCCTTGAATATTTAATTTCAGATGGCTCTGGTGCCTAATAAATCTTGTATATCATTAATTTTCTCTTTTTCTTTTTGGCACTCAACTGTGATTGTAAATTAAGCAAAAACCCAGAGTAATTATAGATTTTCAAAAGCTCCTCTTACTATCTGATCCCCCCGCATTATAGTGCTAACCCTACGTACCATGAGCTCCTGCTTGCCGCCCTCTGGAGCTGCGTGGTCCACACATCTTCCTCCGTCCGTATCGTCACAGCCCGGCTCTTTGAGCTGCTTGCCAAGGGCATCAACGAGTCACTGGTCTCATCCAGAGTGGTACCTGCTCTCATCACTCTCTCAGGAGACTCGGATGTGTAAGTAAATGTGGGAGAAAGGAGGTCCAGTCTATGAAATTATTATATTATGGTAATGAATTCCTGGAATCATTAGTTGTATTGCCTGTACTTAAAACTTATTCTTTTTTGGTGGGGGGGGGGGGGGAGAGGTCATTCAGAAATTTGTTTGACTGTATTGATGCTATGCTACATTTTAATACCAAAGAAATGTATTGAAAATTGCTAAAAAATATTGTATGATGATTCATGTTGCTATTATATTGCATTATGTACCATCTGTTCCCATTGCTGACCCTCTCTTTCTCTCTATCTTTCCTCCATCTTTTTTTCTGCCACTTGTTTTGTTTTAAATTTCCTTACCCTACAACATTTCACTTTATTGTCCCTCTTCACTATCCTTGATCGTCATTCCGTCTTTCTCCCCTCCCCCTTCTCTCTTTCTTTTTGTCCCCTACTCTATCTCTCCCCCTCTCTCTCTCTCTCTCTCTCTCTCTCTCTCTTGCTCTCCCTTTCTCCCATCCCTACCCCCTCTCCCTCTCTCTCTCTCTCCCTCTCCCTTTCTCTCTCCCTTTCTTCCTCCAGTTCTGTCCGGGTAGCCACCATCCCTGCCTTTGGTACCATCCTGGAGAACACCAACCAGAAGGAGACGTTGGACCGGGTCTACACCCAGTTCCAGACCTTCCTCGACGACACCAACTACACGCAGGAGCATGCCCTCATGGTTCAGGTCATTCATACGTTGGGCAAGATCGGACCCAACTCAGAGCCAAAATTCAGGGATGAGTGTAAGTATACCATTCAAAAATCTTTTAAATGTTGACTCCAGGCCCCCATTTTACAAAGAGTTGATATCAATCGCAACTATGTACGTAAGAGATAGGAGACTGCAAACTTGCGATTGATTGTAGGACTTGCGACTGATTTGGATCACAAAATTTAATCTTTTTTTTTTTTTTTTTAACGATATCAAGAAGACTATTTTAAATACATGTGTAGGGAGTAGTTTGGGAAACCTGTTCTGACTGCACAATAAGGGTTCCTGAATGTAATTAGCCATACTTGTTGGCAAGTGTGTCATGTTCCTTAACAATTCCACCTAGCTGTTGCCATTTCTTCCATGTTGCAGCATCACCTGTAATGAAATGTGATGAGATCACTGAGATTTTAAAATTCCATGTAACATGATTTTATTGTCTTTTTTGTATGCTTCATTTGATTTAGATTGTGTAATTTGATACTGATGTTCAATTTCTAATTTAGTCGTGTTGAGTGTATGAAATGAGGAGGCGTGTTGGCTCAGTCGGTTAAAGCATCTGCCTGTTGGATGACTGAAGCCTGCGTTGTGTGTTTACGTGCCCCTCCCCTGTTTCTGTTTCATAGACACAGGCTATGTTTAGTGGAAAACAAACCTTCCCTCGGATAGGATGTTAAATGGAGGCCATATGTAATTTAGTTTGTTTTTTGCCTCTCAGGCACAGGTAAGTGACGCCAATACTTAATAATTATAAATAGTATAAATGCAATTATTGATTTCTTGTTCATGTTGTTTCCTTACACCTATCCAGTCATTCTACCTCGCCTAGCAGCTATGGCCTACACCAACAGTCACTCCACCAACGATGCTAACAGGGCAGAGGTTGCGATGGCCCTCTTTGAAGCGTACAGTGCAATCTCATGCTGCTGTATCCTTTTACTCTTTATTTGCCACAATACTTGCACTTGGCTTGATATTCCATATCTGTGCACCTGCATAAAGTTCTGCACAAACAAACACACACATTCCTTTTTGAACGATAGAAATAGATGTTGTTTAATGAGGAGATTCAGAACAGCTAGTGTATCAAATGAATGAGATTTTAGACGTGTATTTCTGCAATGTTAATAATGTGACAATCAGTTTCTTCAATTAGAAATTGAAGGGCAAAATATAGAGTATCTATATGCATCGGTTGTTTTATTTTGGAAGTAAAAGTATATTTTTACATCTATTTAATAACATGTAATGACTTCAAATGTGTTTGGAGGGACATGGGCATACTACACGTACAGGTACATGTAGTTGTCTGTGCACTTTGGCATATGTTCACACTGTTGTCTCGGTGGAGAATACCTCTTGTGGTAATCTTGCATTCCATGACTATTTATTTCATCAAGTGACTGGACTCAAAGGTAATGAAGAGATCCTTTCTAGCGAACGACTCTACTTTTGCCATTTTTCGACATAATGGACATACCAGTTTCACACACACTGTTAATTGATAGAGGTTGGCATACCAGCTAGTTAGATCATAATCCTGTTACACCCACTATTGTGTCATTTTGAAGACAATCAGAAGCCATTTTCTTACAAACTGACTATGGGTGCCCTCTTGAATGGAACCAGGGTACAGCTTTTGTCCTGAGAGATTAGATTAGGATTAAGTAATCCCCTGCTCCTTTTGATCAGGGCTGCAGAGAGTAACAATACACTGTACATAGACCAACAGGAATCATTGCACATTGGGAATTAGTATAAACTAATCATGCTTTCACATGATAGGTTTCTAGGATGGCTAGACATTTATTTAAATATGACAAAGCCCAGTCTTCAATAATCAAGAGAAAGAGTACATTTTGTACAGGCTCACTGAGAGTTGCTCTTCTATCCCTTTACAAAAATAACATGGTACCCCAGATTTTTTTTGTAAGGATATACATGACCCTATCTATTCAACAATTGGAAATCCAACCTTAGTAGCAAATTGATCGAAAGGAAAGCAGGAGAATCAGAGATTGTATGGTATGGCATATAAAATGCTAAAAAGGCTGAACAAATGATGAGATGGGATGTATTCAAGCGATACAAGGAGGAGGGAAGTGCAGGGTCCTCATGGTCATGGAAAGTCATATAAAGTCAATGGCCTGATAAAAACCGATTTAAATTGGTTTCCCGATTTTTTAAAAATTTTCCCGATTTTTCCTGATTTTTTTCTTCTTCTTCCCTCTTTTATCCTGATTTTACAGATTTCCCTGTTATTTTCTCTAATCTTCCCTATTTTGCCCTATTTTTTTCCCAATTTCCTTACTCGAAAGGGGGGAATGTTGTTAGATGCCATTTTTTCCCCGCGAATCCTCTTCTCTTTTTTTTACTCGAGGGGGGCGTGGTTGAGGGGAAAACCTTTTTTTTTTAGTGTTCACTATCACCCCTGAGTCATATAAAGTCAAGGAAAATGAAAAGAAATCACCCAAAGTCATGGAAAGTCTTGGAAATAGTGAGGGGAGAAGAAGTAATCAAAGACTAGAAGTAACATATAATTATATATATATACATGTATCTCACTGCGTGGTATTCGTACGTCACTTGAATACCAAAATCTTATCATGGAAATGGGGAAAATGGGTCGTGTAAAGTGGTAGAATTTGGTTATCAAATTTCTGAAAGGCCTCTGCCAGTGAGACACCATTCACATTTTGTATTTGCAGTAACATGATACTTTCTAATCGAAATCAATTTTATTCCTTAATACTAATGCCATAATCAGTCCTGTCTGTAGATCTAATTCGAGACGCCATGCTCCCAGGACTCAGATGCTTGAGAAAAGACATGGAGACAGTACTTCCAGAACATGAGGTAAGATGCCATGAATTTGTGAACTGGTGCAGGAGTAAATCATTTGAGAACTGATCCCCTCTATCTGGAGATTACTCTCTTCCAATTTATCTGTCCTTATCCCCTTTCTTCTCTTTCACTCTCAGCCAGTGGTGAGATGGGAGCTAGAGGTTAGCCTTCTTGGATTTGAAGATTTTTGTTGTTGTTGAAAGAGTCTAGCTACTCCAAGAACAGTTGTCCCCTCTTTAATCCGAGCACTGTCACATCCCAAGCCAGTTTTCCTCCCCTTCTTTCTGTGACAAAAACTGAAAACTAAGAATCACTTCAGTCATGCTTTGTTTATCTTTAAAACAACATAAATATTCAGATATTATCTTTGGTTGATAGTCAAGAAGGTCACAAATAATATATGGTTCCGTTGAAAAATGTCCAATTTTGAGAAAGTGCAATTAAATAATTAGACTGGCAAAAGAATAGTTATCATTCATTGGTATTTAAAGATTATTGGTTTGATAGAAATGACTGATTTGGTTCAATATCATTGTTCAAAAAAGAATTAATCATCTCTTGCTAATAGGAAATGTATGTAGCCATAAAAAATGTTCCCTTCTATACCTCAGCTACTATTAAGTATTACCGGTAGCTAAGTAGTATTAGGGACTTTTAGATTTGCGTGGACTGATACGTGTGACGTCCATTCAAGGCAGTGCATTAAAAGGACGTCGATCGTAGCAATCCATGTTGTCGTTGTGCAAATCCAAAAGTCCCTATTGAATCATTAGTACAGCTTATTGTCATGGTTAAGGTCTAGAATAACAACTCCACCATGTGTGACCTTTGACCCCATCTCCGTCTTTTGTGCCTGTGTGTGTATGACGCTGTGCAGGAGCAGGTGAGGACTCAGATCCTGGATCGTGAATCTCAGTTGTACAAGGTTCACCAGCAGCCTATCCATATCCAAAAGGTTGTGCCATTTGTGGGTGCTCGTTCTCATACGCAAACAGCTACCCCAAAAATCAAATTGACAATGCGATGACATCACAACCACCAGCCTATGTGTACCAATTTCTGTTGCATATTCGCTCATTCATACTTGATAAATGATTGTAAAAGTTGTGCCATTTGTTGGTGCTCGTTCTCATTTTCAAACAGCTACCCAAAATTCAAATTGGCAATGCGATCACATCCCACACCAACAGCCATCAGCATATGTGTACCGATTTCTGTTGCATCGCTCATTCATGCTTGATAAATGGTTGTTATTAAAGTCTAAAACAAATTTTGATATGCAGTAAAACCCTTCAGCTATATTCAGTTCTTATACACCTTTGCAGGACTTTACTTGCAGCCCCATTAGTAATGATTATTGCTGGTTTCGCAAATTGGTGTAAGCACAATACTCTAGCTTTTATTATGCATACATTACATGTATGAAAGGACATCAGAACATCAGTCTAAAGAATAATTTCCTTGAGAGATATGGCATTTTTACCATTTTATCAATTATTCAACACAACTAGGGGACTTTCTAGGTCTTATATTTTTACGTTTATAGTCAGTCATAGGGATTTTCCTGTCACAGATATGTGGACTAGATAATGATTAACATGCACGGTACATGTATGTACCCCCCCCCCCCAAAAAAAAAAAAAAAAATAATAATAATAATAATAATAAATAATAAATTAAAAAATTAAAAAATTAAAAAAAAAAAAAAAAAAAAAAATCATTTTAATAAATAACAATAAATACAAATAAATTAATCATTAAATATATAAATAAAAAAAATAAAAAATAGATATATATTTTATCTGTTCAGAGCCAGAAGGGCATTAACCGTGTGTTTATTAGTATATAAGCCATTAAATGGCTCCAAGCAGAAGATATTCTCTATTAAAACCATTGGTTTAAATAACAATTTTGAATATTGGGCATATAGGATCAGTATGTCTTATGTTAAGAAACTTGTGCCTGTTTGCAATATATTATTTTGTATAATGTGTATATCACCATTCCACCATCAATCATGCCATAAACGTGAAAGTATTTTACCCAAAACTACCTCTGCTATTTCAAGTAGCTTTACCGTACACTGATTTACATGTAATTTTTTGAGGAGGCTGTGCAAACCTTCAATTTTGTTTAAAAATTGTGACGTGCTTTGCAAATTCACCGACAAAAGGCCTCTCAGTCTTTTGTGATATTATTTAAGCATCTTTTGTAAAAAAAATGTGATATGTTGATCTTTTGCATGAATGTTGAATTATGTGTACAGGTTAAGAGTGGATAGCTTACACCACAACTTTACATTTGTCCTGTCTGGTTTTTTATTTGCTTTGTACATTAAACATTACATTTGCAATAAAGAATGTCACAAGTTTGCCTTGAATACGTTGACAGAATAAGAAAATGAATGTGATTAAAAAAGAAAGATTTCATGTCAATTGTCTTCATGATTTTCTTACATCATGCTATAATAAAAAATCTCAATATCACATCGTTATCATCACAATATTATGCCCTTGTAACATACCATTGAAAGAATATTACCCTAATGTTCATATTGATTGACGCCGTCTGAAATATGAAAACAATAATTTACGTGAAATCCAAATTGCCAATATATTTAATACCGTTCATTTATGGGTCTGATTTTAGTTGTTAATTATTTAGGTATAACAAATATGATAAAAATAATAACAATAATAATAATAATGATAATAATAATAATAACAATATTAATAATAATAATAATAATTATTATGATAATGATAAAAATAGTGGAGTCTTGTGTAACGCTCATGATGTCTGGCATTGCCACTCCTGGTGCTCCAATATTATTTCCCTGGTTTTAACATGGCTGCCACATTTGTGTCTCTATTGTTGGTGTTGTTTTGTTTTATTTTAATGAGGAGGGGGATTTTTGTATTCCTTATTATTCTCTTTTGATAAAAATGTGACGCTTGGATCTCTTGTTTCAGTGGCTTATAAATATGATTGTTGTTGCATTGCCAGGCAAACAGACAATAATAGATAACTTATTTATCAAAGTTGGTTAATCTCTTTGTACAGATGGCTCTGTCCTTTGCTGTTGCCTGAACTGCCCACTCTCTGTGAAAACGTTCCAACGAACTAAATGCAGGAATTTTGTTATTGTCATTAGCTGGGTTCAAACTTTTGTATACCGGTAGCTAATTCTGTCAAGTTATTAACATCTCTCTCTCTCTCTCTCTCTCTCTTTCTCTCTCACTCTCTCTCTCTCTCACACTCTCTCTTTCACTCTCTCACTCTCTCTCTCTTTCTCTCTCTCTGTCTCTCTCTCTTGTTATCTTGCTTAATGCTCTCTCTCGCCATCTCTCTGTCTCCCTACCTCGTTTTGTCTTTGTGCAGGGTGTGGTTTCTTCGATGATCAAAGATTTCGAGTCTAAAATCCAAGGAAAAGAGAGGTGAGATATTACTATTCATTAACTTTTCAGAGTATCTTTTAATATTGTGAATTGCTACTTGGGTACTTATAACATGTACGTAGATTTGAGGGAAAACCATTACAAATCACATTTCATTGTAACCTTTTATCACAAATGTTGCGTTTTGTCGTGTTGTAGGTTAAGTCTCCTAATAGGATCAGAATTATATCCACATTCCAAGTTACTTGCACAAACTGTTTTTTTGTGTGGGAAGCTAAGATGAAACTAACATTATGGTGTGTAACTAAACCAAGTCAGAAGTACAAGGTATCTATCTTATATCGATTGCTGTGACCTCTTCTTTTAATGTGTGTATATATGTACGTAATCAGGGTGATGTTTCACAAAGGCTAAGAATGACTAAGTTGGACTTAACTATGGCAGGCCATTCATGCCAATGGTTGCTCTCACCATTATGATCTTTAGATAATATTTTTTCCTTCCATAATGAACTATAACAAGTTAAGTTGGACTTAACCATTATGGAAAGCCTTTAGCATCTATGAAAATATTTTGTACGCTTATTTTAAAAGGCATACAATGTTGATTCAAATCGTTCATATTTTCTATTATCAAGGAGATTTCATGTTCTTGATGTGGAATTTATAAAAAGTCTAAAATACTTGAATTTCTACTTTAAATATATTATAGTTTTATTTACAAATGGCTCTCCATTATTTTTAAGTCCAACTTAGAGTTAAGTTTGGCTTAGGATCTTTGTGAAACACTCCCCCCCCCCCCCCCAGTAGTCATTGATAATAATAATGCAACAATAAATCTTGATAGGAAAAAAGGATATTTTTAAAGCTAGTTTTACTTGTAAATGAAGAAAAAAAGGGATCTTAAAACAAGATGTATAAAGACTCATTTATTGAGAGGAGAGACCCGAGGGTCACAAATGACACAAATGACAACAAGTACTTATACCATTATGCATGTATATATGTGATAGTGTGGCTCACAACAGTAACATACTCTTTTTAAATGTCGGGTGTTATACAACCATAGATCCTAAATAGTTAATCATAATCTTTAGATGGAGCAGTATAGTCATATGCAAAATAATTATTGGAATTAGAAAATATGGATTGTGATTATGTATTGACAAATCATTGTATTCAAGTGAACTTGATAACCTGTTCTCTTTTATTGGCAATCCAATTTGAACAGTTTTCATCCCCACTTTTTTGTCGTTTTTCTGTTGCATGTTTTGACTTTTATTGGGAATTGTGCAGGGCTGCTCCAAACCAGTTGCTATCCGGGAAGATTTTTTTTTTCTTGCAATTTGAAACTATACATTTATTGCCCTCCCTTATTTATAATCATTAATTAATTACTCATTCTTTTCAAAGATTCCTTGGTACTTCTGAGATAAATCGTACTCATAGGTAATAATGTCATAATTTACATGTATAAATGTCCTCTAATTGGTTTCTAATTTCCTGTTTCCCTGTTTCTTTTTCTCTCTTTCTCGCCCCTCCCTCCATCTACACCCCTCCCTCCATCTACACCCCAACTCATTATGTTGACCTTTGTCTTGTCTTCTTTTGGTCCACTCACTTCCTGTCCCATATATTTCCCGTATGACCCCTATATGACCCCTTTGCTTTTTTATGGTCACCCTATAATATGTTTAATATGGCCTTCCTATGATGCTTATGCTTGTTTATGATATAAAACTGTAATTTTGCCCTCTAATACCTTTATCTTATACTTCCATATTAATATTTTCTTTTTGAAACCCATATTCATTGTTTATTCTTCTATCACAACCTTTACAAATTACTCCCTATGTCTTTCCTCTCTCACTCTGTTCTCTCTCACTCTGTCTGTCTGTCTGTCTGTCTTTCTGTCTCTCTCTCTCTCTCATTCTCTGTCTTTCTCTCTTGACTCTCTCTCTCTCTCTCTCTCTCTCTCTCTCTCTTCCTCCTTCCCTCCTCATGCCTGTGTTGCTTTATTTCTCTTTCACTCTGTCTTTTTATTCTCTTTCTCTTCATATGTCAATCTGTTACCATTTTTTTCTGTTTCAATGCTAATATTTTATTTTTAAACTTTTCATTTGATGATGCTTATTAATCTCCCTTTCGTGATCGTAACACATTTAATTTTTTTATTTGTTTTCATCTACTAATTCAACTGTTCTTTATTTCTATTGTCCCTGATGCATCTTGATCTTGATTATGATTTCCTGTGTCTTTATTTCATTCTGCTAACAAAATCATAAAATGCATTCTTTGAACTGTACATAACTTTGATGTTTCATTTTCATCATTATACGATTTGTACTATTTTATGCTTTTTGACATAACGCTGTAAATAAAACCACACACATGCTTTTTAACTGCATGTCTATACTCTATGGCCATGCATATCTTCTTCATCACCATCCCTTCCTATCTATGAAAAAAAAAATCCATGCATAATACTTCTTGCATCCCCCTTCCCTATACTATATTTAAAAATATGAATGAATCTGCACCTGCTTTAATAACACCAACTGCAAACTTGAATATTGGCCTGTATAAACCCCATTTTGAAACTGCCCTTCGCCCCTGGCATCTCCCCGACCCCTCTCTCCATTCTTCAACCCTATTATTGAAACCATACAAAATAACTCCCCCCCCCCCCCCCCTCCCACCGCATTGGCCCTTGCCCTTGCCCCCATCAGATCTTCGTCGTTCAACAACATGGCCCACAACATCCAAGGGCACGTGGCCCACTTGGGCGAGGACGCCCGAAAGAAGATGGCCAGCAAGATAGGTGCCCAAAAGACGAAGATGGGCAACGTCTTCTCTCGCAAGAAACCATAAATGAAAAGGCTAGCAAGATAGGTGCCCAGAAAGCTTAGGTGGGAAACGTCTTCTCCCTCGAGAAATAGCTGGGACAAAATGTCTTTAAACGTGATTCTTTTACAAGTGTGAAGTCCATGTACTTTCATTTGAGTAGCCATTTTAGATGAAATAATTGGATATTGGGTAGGACGCCAGAAGAAGAAAGGCAAACAAGATAGTTGCCTAGAGGACTGAGGTGGGAAACGTCTTCTCCCGCAAGAAATAGCTGGGACAAAAGGTCTTTGAACGTGATTCTTTTTAAGTTTAAAGATCATCTTATTTATATTACAGTGAAGTCGATATCCACCTTTTTTGTGTCTTTTAGCTTCCCCCAACACCAAAGCACTACTCACATTTGTTTTCTGATGTAAGGGAATACTTTCCAGGATTATGGTTTTAACACTGTTTCTATTTGTCCTCTACCCCTCTTTCCTGGGGGGTGTTTCACAAAGATCCTAAGTTGAACTTAACATTTATGGAAAGCCGTTGCCATCTATGAAAATATTTTGTACAAGTTTTTTTTTAACAAGGCATAAAATGTTGATTCAAATCATTTATATTTTCTATTATCAAGGAGATTTCATGTTCTTGATGTGGAATTTATAAAAATTCTAAAATACTTGAATTTTCGTTTTTTAATATATTTTATTTTAAGGCTACAAATGGCTCTCCATAATTTTAAAGTCCAACTTAGAGTTAAGTTCGACTTAGGATCTTTGTGAAACTTCCCCCAGGTTGGGTGTCTTAATGTTGGTATCTGTTTACCCCTTTTGCAGCTTGGTCCATAAGTGGTGATTATATAAGAAATTGTGTGCATTCTTTGCTTTTAATGGACCTTGCCTTATTTGATTTAAAAATTGCATGCATTCTTTTATGGGTTTTTATTATACTCCCTGAAGTTGTTTCATGGTTATCATTCCTATTTTATTGTAACAAGTGTACTTTCCACCTCTGGTAAATATGTCTGAAAGAAAACTTTAGTTATCAATCATGCAACAAAATTAGATATTCCCATGACCAGTGACCCTTGACCCCTTAATGACCCTTGCACGGACCTCTTCTTTCCATCAACAGTGAGGACACATCAACCAGGAGCAGCGATCCTTTCTACCAGCCCTATATGGTCAGCGTCAACCCCAACGACAGCAAGGCGTCGGCCGGTAACAAGACGGCGCCCGCAAGGACCATGATGGGTGGAATATGGGGAAAATGGGGAAAGTGAAAAATGGGAGTTGTGTTCAGTGAAGCATCGTCCAGAACGATCGTAGACAGTGTCAAGTTCGGTGCTGCTCACCGACAGAAGCAAGAGAGTGCCACTCTGGGCCATGGTGGGTTGCATATTCTAGCGGAGGAAAGGACACAGGAGATGTTCTGTTGCAATATCGTCTGGAACGATTGTAGATATGGTCCAGTTTGGTCTAGTTCACCAGTAATAACTAGACAGCACCCCCACAGGACCATAGTGAGTAGCATGTTGTCCTGGAGCAAATAAGGGGTTCTATAATGATGCTACATTCAGAACAATGTTAAATACAGTTAAACCTGTCTACAGTTACTGCCCTAGGGAAATACAAAAAGTGGTCTTTGTAGACAGGTTCCTTTATTCAGTTTGACCTTGTCCTGCATTTGTAACAAGTCGGTGCCCTCAAAAACTTTGATGGGGGACTATGTTCTCTTGGAGGAAGCCAGAGAAATTCTGTAGGTGATTTGTCTGGAAAGATTCTAGGTTTATCATCAAGATTGTTCCTGCTCATCATCAAAGAAGACAGTGCCCCCTATGACGATTTATCTCTCTTGGAGGAAATGAGAGATTCGTACACTGTCTTGAAGAATCAGAGAAATCAAGTTTGGTCCTGCCCACCACCAATACGACAGTGGCTCCTGGCACCATGATTCTGTGGACAAAGTGAGAGATTTTGGTGTCATCTGGGGGGTGTTTCACAAAACTTGTCGTCAGTGACAAATGACAGTTTTTGTTATAAGCTACTAAAATCCTTGCTTCTGATTGGTTATCAGCAGATTTGTCACTGATTTTAGTCATTTGTCATTGAAAAAAGGTTTTGTGAAACGGGTCCATGGAAGGATTGAAGATATCATCAAGGTTGAACCTGACAGACACCAATGCCAACTCCTAGGATCGTGATGGGGAAACATATTCTCCTTGAAAAAGTGAGAGAGGTAAGCTGCAGGAAGTATGAAATAAGGTGTGCTTCCTTCATTAAAAGATTGTCATGGTATTCCAATGGGCGCATTCAAAATTTAAAGATTACAAGCACTCCAGCAAAAATAGATGCAAATAACATATTTTGGGATACATGCTGTTGAATTGTGTGACTTAATCCTAAATCCACAGAAGCCCTTCTATTGAACTAGTCAATGCCTTATTGGTTGAGATGGACAGTTAAAAGTGTTTTTTGCCAAACTTTGCGGAAGCAACCCACTGAATTTAGTAAGGTAAATTGTACGTACCGGTATAGGCCTAGATTTTAGTCAAACTTGTCCTCTCATTCACATATATATGCGATGCATTTTTGAAACGTTTAAAAGAATGGCAACTAGGTATAAAAAAGATCCTACATTTATGCACCGAACGTTGTGTTACAAGATACAGAATCGTTACGCCTATTCCACTTACGTTACAGGGGGGGGGGGGGGTGTTCTCCAAATGTTGCAATTTTCCGTGGCATATCTGAAGGAGGCTGTAGGGACCACCTCCCTATAAAGGGCACCTGTCTATAGCAATCAAGTACATGGCTATGCTTTCGTTCTTGAATGGAATGTGTGTTTTGCATGTACTTGTAGAACCTGCCTAGAAAGGCCATATATATGGTAAGGACTGTGGCCACTTCTTTTCCCTTTGCAGTGGGTGGCCTTAATAGACAGGTTTGACTGTAATAATAATAATAATAATAGGCATTTCTATAGCGCCATCTATCTAGAAATTCTATTCCGAGGCGCATTTATTATTACCCGGCTTTAGCCTAGCTGCCATTACAGCGCTCCAGCATTTCAAGGAATTAATTCCTGCCAGGTACCCATTTACCTCACCTGGGTTGAGTGTGGCAAATGAAGATTAATGCCTTGCCAAAGGACATTAGTGCCGTGTCGGGGATCGATAAAAGTCCTTGTTCTTGCTGTGAATTACCGGTAAAGAAGTGTAAAGGTGATGAGACGGTCTTATGAAAAGAGATAAGTTACTATTAATAACTAATGAAAATTGCTTGCAGTACTGTAATGAGTTACCGGTATATATTCCATTGTACTACTAGCAGATGGTCCTCTATTTTGAAATATTTGTGATTTCCATGGAAAGCATTTCCAAGCATTTAGAAAAAAATATAATGTGATCAGGAATCAGTGTGTACATAGTATATTACCCAATTATTCACATTCCTGTACAGTGTATGACTCTGTTATGCCCATAAATGTACTACTATTGTATCATTGAAATATACTATGTCGCATACTACCTAAGTAATTTACTCAGAATGTGATGTGCTTAGTAATTCATTTGTTATTTCACAATCTTATTTATATTATTAGTTATAAATTTATTTGTAAATCATTGAGTTCCAGATAGTTTAGGAATTAGGTCAAAGATTATTGTAAGTTTTATGCATATTTAAGTTAATTTCAAATTAATTGTCAATCAAAGTTTAGAATTTTCACATGTTGTATAGAATTTATTCCTTGAGTAAATGAATTCACATATTGACTATATGATCAAAAAGGAAAAAAAGAAGAAAATTATTTTTGTTGCAAGTCCATTGAGGTATTGTGCTATCATTGCTTTTTAGTTATTGCTCGTCAAGTTTTGTAAATCACCTCAAAAGCATTACCAAGTTCAATGAAAGTATAGAAAATGTGTGCTTTTTGCTACCGGTATTTTGGGGGTTTTACTTTATTTGAACTATTTCACTGTATTTGAATAATTTGTGGGGATCGAAACATGCTTACTCATTGATTGTTATAAGGGCATAGAAACAAGAGTACGTGTATGCCCGTTTCGGTCCCGATACAGTTTTTCATTTTCAAGAAAGAGGACCCACCAGACTTTGAAAATCTGGACAATAGCATGAATTAAAAGTATATATTTTGAACCTAATAATGAATTGTAAAAATCCAGTAAATTGTTTGAAGTTGCCTATAAATTGTTATTTATTATCGTTTGAAACTCAAAAGGGGCGCAAAGTTCATCTATACAATGAACTTGCGAGTCACAAAGTCTTAATATGTGCTCGTTAGCTGGGTAGATGAAATATAAGTATTACAACATGATTATGTTGATGGACATTTCACTAGTTTTCTCAAGTCCTTTGATTTGAAATATTTGCAAGGAAATAATGTAATGGTGAAATAAGGACTCCATTTACTTCCTACTATAGTTGTTGCTTCCCATGTTTAATAGTGCTAATTGTATATAGTCTTTTTCTGATATTTTGTAATCAAATATTTGTTTTTGTACATAGATACATGTAAGACTTAATTTCCATTTTGCCTCACCACCTCGAAGTTGCCCAATCATGTGTCTTTTGACTTTAATATATGGTCATTTTGTAGGAGCGGTGAAGTAGTCATTCTTTGTATCATTTCCATGTTATATTCAATTTTATATTATGTCTGTATATGTTTAGAGACTCGTATCTGTAAATTTTGGTTGATTCAGAGAGCATTTCTTGTGCAAAATGATTTAAAAGTCTTTCTTCAGAGATCTATTACAAACATAATTCTGTTTTTATATCCTATTCAGCTTTAATTTCTGCCATTTATACTGTATTTCATTCCTGTAGTTTTCGTTTTCATTTTCCTATCCCGTTTCAGCTTGTTGTATATGCAGTAAATGTAGCACTATTCTTGTAATTTTTAGGAAATGTATGTGAAATCGGTTTCAAGTAAACTGATCTGTAATAAATCAGTTTTACACCATCTGTTAAAAAGCCAGGACATTAACTCAGTAATCATCTTAATACATAGAGCTATCACCCTTCTGGCTCTTGGCACATGATATATCAGATATATTTCACCAGATTTGAGAGATCTACCAGGTAAATGGAACGTGCATGCAAGAAGCAATTGAGATTCATCTTTAGTATTAATACTTTACAATTGTACAGTCAAATAAAGCTAGTCAGTATCTGTAATATCACATATGATTTTATAGTCACAGGGAATCAGCAATGAAATCATGTTTTTGGAAGTTAAATGGTATAATTTCTTTAAATGTGTGATTGATTGATTTTAATAGAGTTGGAATTTTGCAGGGTGCTTATATAGTGAATGTCAGCAGTTTGTTTTACATACTGAGCTGAATAAGCTCACATATGACCATTATCAGGGTGTTGAAGTGAGAAACAAAATTAGAGGTACAATCACTAATTTGAAATTAGATATCTGTACTACACATTTATACACAATGCCTTTATGTTCCGTTTTTCACTTTCATGATTTGAATACGTTTCAGGGTCGTTTTTCTAATTAGTCTCACAATAAATAACTGCCTAAAATGAACAATTCAAGATGTTCCATGCTATGTAGTACAAATATGTCTTGCGCAGAATCAAATAAACCAATTGGCAATAGGTTTATATTTAATAGTGTTTTTTTTTTTTACTTTCATACTAATTTCATAGAGGAGAAGAAAAAGCATGCTGATTTTCAAAGCTGTAATTTGTTATTCTGAAACTGTTACAGTACAACTATTATTTTGTCAGAAGTTGTGTGTACTTTGCCTTTTGATTTTTTATGGTACTTCCTAGGTGGTTCAGATCCAAAAAACCTATTTGAATTTGAGCCTCAATCTATCTCCATGAACTGGATTGAAAATGTAATTTACTAAAAGATGCACCTAGGCAAATCTCCTGGTGATGTTGCTTCATATTAACTGTGAATTAGCATTATAATTTTTGTATATAGGGGTAAATTGGGGAATGTTCATCAACGTGTTTACAGATTTGAAGACAAAAAAAATGAAAGGAAAAGATTGGTACAGAGAAAGGGACATACACTTTTTAAATTGGTTTCCACAAACAAATGAATGCATGATATACCTGTTAATATGAAAATAGGAAACACTTTGTGAATGTGTAATTGATAATCCAAAATCACTAAAATAGGGTGTATAAAGAGCCCATTTTGTGCCTACTTTTACACAAAAGGGGTTATATTTTTGTGGAAAACATATTTGTAAGTACATGTTTTCTAAATAAGGGGGTCATTTTCGATTCGACCAAAGATCATGTGTTACGTGTACAGTGGGCACCTTTGAATATAAAACGACACCGCCGAGGCAAATAAAAAAACAGGAAGATAATTGTTATTCACAATCCATCCTCTTAAATTATGAAACGAACGTGAAAAAATGTAGCATAGAAAAAATATAACCAGCATGTTGAAAGCATTATCTGTATCATTATGTTTTTAGACATTTTATTCATACTATCATGCAATAGACGGACCTAACATGTTTATGTCGATCTGTGATGTAGATATTTGAATATTAAGAAGAAATCCTTTCTTTTGATGTCTCAATAAGCTATTATTTGAATTCAGTGCACTTATGAATGTCAACTGCCAAAGTCACAGAAAAACACCTTTCTATTCACTTACTCAAGCTGTAAATCATAGAAACACTATATATATATATTTCATAATCTTCAACTACCAAACCATTCCGTATGCCTTTATAATCACAGTTACTCACGTATTCTATTATTTGTTTACTATGTTTATTCCAGTAGTCTAAACTCCATACAGTCATGTACTATGTATTTTTACAGCCTTGTCAATGAGTGCACATTTCTAACTTATCAGGCATTAGACAACAGAATACTTATTTAGCACTGAAAATGTGAGGATACATTTTCCTGGATATATAGCACTTTTCTCTCAGATTTTCTAAGTACGTATATGTAATGGAGCTGCCTGTAAATTGCTAAGAATTGGGGTAGTTTTGCAAATTTGTCGTCACTTTCTTCTCTAAAACTATAATATTTTTATAGCCCACCGCATACACTTCGATTTTTAAAGAAATGGCAATTATATTAGATATAGAAATCTAAGCAAACCAAATCTTCCAGACGTAGGTTCTGAACTATGGGGAAAAATGCAAAGAATTGGAATTTTAGTGCATATATTTAAGCTTTTTAGTCAGAATAAAAGCCGAATCCGCTGCAAATCGAAGACAAATCACACTTCTGATTACGTCACTACGATTCTGGGCCGATTTAGCTATTCCTCCTCCTCCAAAGAAGCGCAAAATCCATTGAAATTTAAATTGTATTAATCATACATGTATGATTATTCAAATCGATAATAATGATAATAATATTTCGTATTTATAAAGCGCTTAATACGTCGACGATGTCTCTAAACGCTTTGACAGATATAAATTTAGAAGTTTGAATGCCTCATATCAAATGTCATAAGATTGCAAATTCTTCTAAGATTGGATCGTAGTAAAGATCGTATAGCGTGCGGTGGGCTTTAGACTCTCTAGATCTAGACTCGAGAGAGATGTTGATATATATAATCACCGGTTTATTGTATTTTGTATAGCAATGGTGTGCAATAATTGTCTGCATAACTCAGTGAAAT